CCAAATTGTAAAGGCCCTGAACACGTCATGAATTGAGTTCACATATAGCCTCAAAGACCCTGAATTGATTTAGACATCTGCTTTTTTTTCCTACCTCCAGAACTTTGATGAAACTCTAATCACTGGAAATTGGATCCCTGAGTTGTGATTTCAGTTAATTCTATTATCCAGTGTCCCAAGATGTTTTTTTTTTATAAAGTATAATTTATATATAGCTTGATTACTTATGTAGGTGACCCTTACATGCTAATAAAAAACACTATCCCTGGGCCTAATTTTTTTAGGTGTACAGGGTAATAAGAGTTTTATATCTGAAGTTGTGAAAATACAACAAAACTTCAATATTATTGGTAACAGGCACAAAAGGCCAGGACTGGAAAAATGGAATGTTATTTGGGAATTTGACTTTTTCCTTCTGTAAAATGAGTGTTGATTCCTCCCATGTTACATACATAGGACCTTGAGTATAAAAGAAAAATTTAAGAACCCCATTACATGCAAACTTTGGGTAAGAATTAAACAATTTTATGCTATTGAAATATTTGGTTGTTATTACATCTGGAGGGTATGATTTTAGTCAAGAAAAGGTAGTATCAGCCCTAGCCAATTTGGCTCAGTGGATAGAGCATCGGCCCACAGACTGAAAGATCCTGGGTTCAGTTCCAGTCAAGGGCACATACCTTGGTTGCAGGCTACTCCCTAGCTCAGGCTGTGGTTGGTGTGAGTGCAGGAGGCAGCCAGCCGATGTATTTTTCTCTGTCTTTCCCTCTTTCTTCCACTCTCCTTAAAATCAATGGAAAAATATTCTTGGATGAGGATTTTTTTTTTTTAAAGGAAGAGTAATATTAGATTGTTACTTGCTAGGACACATCTGAACTTGGTGATTTGTAGTCTCACTACATTATATGTCTGTCCTCCCCTCTTTTCCCTTGGTATCTGTCCTATATAATAAAAACCCAGTGACCAAATAGGCAAAACGATCAGAGACCAGAATCACCATGTCTCCTGGCCTGGCCAGTCCAACCCCCTAGCCAGCAGTTAGAGGCGATCATGCAGGCAGGCTAGTGGTTAGGGGCAATTAGGAGCATTTAGGAGCCAGCAGTCCTAGATTGCAAGAGGGATGTTCGACTGCCAGTTTAGGCCCATTCCAGCTTAACCTGGCAGTTGAACATCCCTCAAAAGTTCTCAGATTGTGAGAGAGTGCAGGCCAGGCTGAGGGACCCCCCTCCCCCAACCCATGCAAGAATTTTGTGCACCAGGCCTCTAGTATATATAAAAGTCTAAGTGACCATTCAACTGGTACCTATGACATGCACTGACCACCAGGGGGGCAGACGTTCAACGCACAGGCATAGAAACATGGAACAGATTGATGAATTTCAGAGGGGAAGGGGGAAGGCAGGAAGAGATTAACCAAAGATCTTACATGCATACTAGAGGTCTGGCCGCAGGAATGGGGCCAAATTCGGCAGTCCGACATCCCCCCCATGATTGTGAGAGGGCGCAGGCCTGGCTGAAAGACCCCACTATGCACCGGAACTCTAGTATTTGCATAAAGCAAAATGACACTTATTCTCCAGACATATTTCTAAAACCCAAATCATTCATTTGTGTGTAAAAATAAGTTTCAAGGAAAAGCTATTCGAGTAAAAGGGACTGATTATAAATTACAACAAAGTTCATGAATATTCACAAGCAAAGATTAATTTACAACTTTGTGAATAGCAAGTTGACCAAAGTAATTTATAGTCCCTGCTTGCCTTTCTTTCTTTTAATTAGTATAAACTATAGTTGAAGTTGATTCATCTTAGGAGATTAGTTTGTTTTGTCTCAGGAAAATTAATGACTTTTTCTATGTAGAGAATGTAATATTACATATACATAGTGGCTGAGTTAATTCCATCTCTTTTCATCTTCCATGGAAAATATTCCTAATCCAGCTTTTTAGAAAGTCCTTAAAAAAAAACCACGATATTTTTTGAGAGAAGCCGAGGGGGAGAGAGAGACCAATGTGAGAACCAAACACCAATCTGTTGCCTCCTGCATGCCCCCCACTGGGGATCAAGCCTGCAGCCCAGACACGTGCCCTGACCTGGAGTCAAACCTGCAGTCCTTCCATACATGGGACAATGCACTTTCCAACCTTGGGCCACACCGACCAGGGCAGTTCATTCTATATTGAAAGGGCCTATCCCCAGATATTAGCGCTCTGGGAGAATACTAGTGGCCCACTTGCTCTGGAAATTACTCAGGTGGCTTTTATGCAGAAATTTTTGTATCTTCTATCACATGTGTCAAACACAAGGCCCGAGGGCCAAATCCGTCCCGCCAGGCCTTGCAATGTGGCCCGCACCGCGCTGTCATCACTGCACTCCGCTGCGTTTCCATCACAATGACAGTTTATGACTGTTCAATAAACCATTTGGCCCGCGATTTAGGCTGGATTTTAGATTTTGGCCCCTTCTCTGATTGAGTTCGACACCCCTATTCTAGGTGATTGTGTCCTTTGTTCTCTTTTTCACAAATGACCTGACACATTGGCATAGGATAAATTTTAAGTTCCTGGGCAAAGTCATTTAGAGCAGCAGTCGCCAACCTTTTGTACTTCACAGACCACCAGTGGTCTGGATGGCTACCGCTAATTTAGAGGAACTAGCCCTTACTTTTACATGCAATGGATTATGAAATGCCTCCACTTCTTTGTAATATGCAGTCTTTCTTCATTACATGCTGAAATAAGGTGGATGGTGTGTCACTTTTCCTATTCTCCCAAGCTCTTGTTTCTTAGTTTTGTCTGACCTGTTCATATATTTCAATTTCTAAGTGGGCTTTGTTTTGTAGTTTCCTTTTAAAACATAATCCAGAATTCAACAGAATCATTTAGTTCCTCAATGAATAGTAATTGTATTTATTTTCTACAAAATATTTTGGGATCCATAGATGTGTACAAGGTAGTATTCTTGCTTACTATCAAAGACATTAACGGTAGATAATACCTACAAACTACAATATCGGGTAATACATGAGTATTAGGTGTTTCACCAGATTCTGTAGATATGCTGGAGAGGAACACTCACTATCAGAGAAAGTGGGTCTAGAAGATGGATAGGATTTGAGCAGTCAGGGTGGGACGATCATGACAAGCAGAGAAAAATGTAAACGCAGTTGCAATTATGGCACTGGAAGGGTGTTTTTGGAAAGAAGTCTGCAGCTTTGGCGTGTGCTTTGAGAGGAGCATTATTTTAAGGCCAGCTGGGTCCTTGGTTTCTAGGATGAGAAATACAGATTTTAGTTATTACTATTTCAGAGCTGCCCCAGTATTTTGAAGAAATGAAGAAAGGCATGTTGATGATAGGTGGATTTGGGCAAAATGAGTTTTTAGTTAGAGACAAACTAATAAGTAGGTTGGTGAAAAGAAGAGATAATAATAGGTAGTAATAGTTGTTAGTAGAATTGGGAGACTAAGTGTAAAGTTCGAGGGTACAGGGCTAGAAGGCACCGTTACGATAATAATAATGGTATTTTTCACTGAAATTGGAAAATCACAAGAGCCATTGAGGTAAGTTAAGTTTTAAAATTTTTGAATGTTACAGTTGTAACGTAGAAGTGCTAGTAGTTGGCTATTTATTATTTTTTTTGTTAATCCTCATCCAAGGATATTTTTCTGTTGGTTTAATTTTTTAGAGAAAGTGGGAGGGAGGGAGGGAGAGGGAGAGAGACAGACAGACAGACAGACATGGACTGGTTGCCTCCCACACATGCCCCAAGCAGGGCCAGGGATCAAGCCTTGCAATGAAGTATGTGCCTTTGACCTGTTTTGAACCAGCTATGACCCTTCTTTAGTCCATGGGCCAATGCTCTATTTACTGAGCCAAACCGGCTAGGGTATTTGGTGACTACTTGGATATCGCTTCCAGAGTTGAAATCTTGGATAATGATGTTTATTGTAATCTAACTTAAAAATTTGTCAGAGTACAAAGAAAGATGCTTCTAAATACACTTCAGACCATACATTGGTTGAGTATGGAGTGGGGAGGATTAATTACTGTTTTCTAAATGTTTTGATTTTCATAATGCTACTTTAGTAATTTGAAGAACAATAAAAAGGGTTGACTGCTGAAACCGGTTTGGCTCAGTGAATAAGAGTGTTGGCCTGTGGACTAAAAGATACCAGATTCGATTCCAGTCAAGGGCATGTACATTGGTTGCAGGCACATCTCCAGTGGGGGGTGTGCAAGAGGCAGCTGGTCAATGTTTCCTCTCTCATCGATGTTTCTAGCTCTCTGTCCCTTTCCTTTCTTCTCTGTAAAGAATCAAAAAAAAGGGGGGGGGGCCCTTTTGACTATTTGAAGAAAAAGATTCAGTAATGTATAAGAAAAAGGGAACTTGAAAGACATTTCTGAAATTTGCAAGTAATTGGGGGGGGGGGCGGGGGAAGCAACTGAATTTGGATGCAGGGGAGAATGCTCAATTTAAGGAGCAGGAAAAAATAAGAGCCAGCTGGAGTTCAGCTTGAGGAAAAGGAGGAATTAGATGTAAGTATAAAACTTAAACTCAATTTCCTAAAGAAAGAGAATTCTAAGATTATTTAATAGGAACAAATGTTTTCCACTTTGGTTTTTTTTAATTCTAATGTTTTTGTCATGAAATTATTTTAATTATTTTTAATGATTATAAAACTTAAAAGGATATGTTCTTTAAAGATTTTAAAACTTACTAAAATGTGTCATTACAAACTCATCTTGAAGGTAATTTAGTGCCTGGGTATATTGTACTACTTAAATTACTTTGGAAATTATAATTCTAATAAGATTTTTTAAAATGTTTTGTCCTATTGAACTGACTTTACAAAACTCCTTTGGCCTTTAAACCTAAATTGCCTTGAGGCTTAATGTTCATAATTTTTAAGATGCTCGAATTTCCCAAAGGAAGACTATAACTTTTAGTGGGAAAATATTCTTTAAAAATGTTTCAAATGACTTTTTTCTTCTTCTTTTCAGGTATATTTGTTTCCAGTATTGTTCTGATATTGTCACAGCGATCACTTTTCAAGTTTTACATGTACAGCGCAGCCTTTCTTTTAGCTGCAACTTCAGTGTTGGTAAATTATTATGCTGCTTTGCACATTGACTTGTATGGTGCCTACAACACATCAGCTTTTGGAATTGAACTCCTCCCTCGGAAAGGGCCCTCACAATGGATGGCACTCATTGTTCTACAGCTGACATTTGGAATTGGATACATTACACTACTCCAGATTCATTCCATCTATTCACAATTAATTATTTTGGATCTGTTGGTACCTGTAATAGGCTTAATCACAGAGCTGCCATTACACATCCGGGAGACTTTAGTTTTTACCTCTTCCTTGATTCTTATATTAAACACACTGTTCGTCTTGGCAGTGAAACTTAGGTGGTTTTATTATTCCACACGGTATGTTTATCTCTTAGTGAGGCACATGTATCGAATTTATGGATTACAGTTATTAATGGAGGACACATGGAAGAGGATTCGTTTCCCAGATATACTGAGAGTCTTTTGGCTAACAAGAATTACAGCTCAGGCTACAGTGTTAATGTACATTTTAAGGATGGCAAATGAAACTGATTCCTTCTTTATTTCTTGGGATGACTTCTGGGACCTCATTTGCAATCTTATAATTAGTGGATGTGATTCTACACTAACTGTGCTGGGCATGAGTGCTGTAATTTCTTCAATAGCCCATTATTTGGGCCTTGGAATATTGGCCTTTATTGGATCAACTGAAGACGACGACAGGAGACTTGGCTTTGTAGCACCTGTTTTGTTTTTTATTTTGGCTCTTCAGACTGGTTTAAGTGGGCTAAGACCAGAAGAGAGACTTATTCGCCTAAGTAGAAACATGTGCCTTTTATTAACTGCAGTCCTGCATTTCATCCATGGAATGACAGACCCCGTATTAATGTCTCTCAGTGCCTCTCACGTGTCATCTTTTCGTAGACATTTTCCTGTGCTCTTTGTCTCTGCTTGCCTGTTTATTCTTCCTGTTTTACTCAGTTATGTTCTTTGGCATCACTATGCACTAAACACATGGCTGTTTGCCGTTACAGCCTTCTGTGTGGAACTCTGCTTAAAAGTAATTGTTTCTCTCACTGTTTATACGTTATTCATGATTGATGGCTACTATAATGTCCTCTGGGAAAAGCTTGATGATTATGTCTACTATGTTCGTTCAACAGGCAATATTATTGAATTTATATTTGGAGTAGTAATGTTTGGAAATGGGGCCTATACTATGATGTTTGAGTCAGGAAGTAAAATTCGGGCTTGTATGATGTGTCTACATGCGTATTTTAACATCTACTTACAAGCAAAAAATGGCTGGAAGACATTCATGAATCGTAGGACTGCTGTTAAGAAAATTAATTCACTTCCTGAAATAAAAGGGGACCGTTTACAAGAAATAGATGATGTCTGTGCAATCTGCTATCATGAGTTTACTACATCTGCTCGTCTCACACCATGTAATCATTATTTCCATGCACTTTGCCTTCGGAAATGGCTGTACATTCAAGATACTTGTCCAATGTGTCATCAAAAAGTATACATTGAAGATGATATCAAGGATAATTCAAATATACCTAACAACAGCGGATTTATTGCACCTAATGAAAATGCAGAGGAAGCTGTAAGAGAGGCTGCTGCCGCCGAATCTGACAGGGACTTGAATGAAGATGACAGTACAGATTTTGATGATGATGTTCAAACAGAAAGAAATGGAGTGATTCAGAATACAGGTACAGCAGCTGAAGAATTTAATGAGGACACTGACTGATTAAACAGCATTTACTAATCATTGAGGTTATTTGTTCAAAATTCAGTTCATCCAAAATGGAGTTAATATGCTTCACTTCATTGTGTAACCAAGCACAGAAACAGTCAATGTTGAATCTGTGAATGGTTTTCCGTTTACTGTGATGTGCTACTGTAAATATACCTCTTTAATTACTTCTGGTCTCTTTGGTGACCTATTTAAATTTGTGTACATTATTGTACATAGAATAAAATGTTTTCACGTTTTTATGACAAAATTTGAACAAATAGCTTTTTAATAGATGTAACAATAATACGGTGCGCCAACTGTGCCAAAGATTCCTAAATGAAAGTGTATAATGCATCTAATTCTGGCCCCCTAGTGTTTCTTTAAGATAGGCGGGAGAATGAAAGTGCAAAATCAGAGGAAACCACATTAAATCAAGGAAATAAAATAATGTGGACCAGAGGATAAGAGATATTTTATGAACTAAGGAAATAGTAGGCTGCCAGAACTGATTGAGACTTTTTTGAAATTTGAGAGTAGCACTGTAGTTGAGCTGAGTTCAAAAGTCAAGATTTGGATATTGTGAGTTGAGAAATATATCAGGTATGTATATATCTGGTATGAACCAGAATATGTTTAATTTTGATGTAAAAATTAGTATATTTGTTAGTCATTCTGTGTTTGCAGCATTGACATAATATTGTCCTTTTAGACTTTTGAAGAGGTTACAAAATTAATACTTGGTGACCTCCATTCTTTTAAGTGACATTAAAAAATATCCCTGGCTTTATGGATAAAAATAAGGGAGATGGTTGTGCAGTGATGCATAATATCTCTTTAGACAAGTTCCAGAGAATTCCTTTATTGAAACTAAGTTTTACCATGAAATTTCATACATGATGGAAAACACATAGCAATTACATATCAGGAAAAAATACTTTAATGGTATTGTTATATAGCTCATTGGCTAATTCCAGTGGATCCTCATCTCTTACTGCTGCCATTATCTCCAGTATTTGACTAAAACAAAACAAAAATAGATGGTTTAAATTTCCAAGTACATATTCATGTTTTAAATTTATCTTTTTCCACATAAAGGATGATACTAGCACTTTTAATAAGCTTAAACGGGTATTCAAGTTTTCAGCACTATCAGAAAGTTTAACTGCTAGGATATTTAAAATAAGAGTAGAGATTTTTGTAGTAGTTCTGTATATAACTAGAGCCAAAAATCTAGTTTTAAATAAATTATAAAGGTGGCCTATATTTAAAAAAAAAAAAAAAAAAAAAAAAAAAAGGTGGCCTATATTATGTGTACCTTAATTAGGGAATTAACCTGGTAGAAATGAGTCCTTTTAAACTGTAGGTCACAGTAAGCTTTTAAAAAATTGCAATTTACAAAAGTACAATACATGTAGACAAGTACTATTTCATTTATGTATGTACATGTGTAATGCATCAATGTAAGCTGTAGCCATTGGGACAGCCATCAAAGTTTGAAAACCACTGCTTAGAAAACTAATACTAAAGAATAGCAAAAAAAATTGTGGCATGATCACTAGCACAATGAAAGCAAAGGAAGTTATAAGTTATTTACTCAGAATAATGTGTTTGGGTAGCCATAGAAAGAATAGCCCAGCTGCTGTTCTTTCAGTTTCTCTACAATTATCAGTAATGTTTTCTAGCATTCTTATATATTGATAGAATATTTTTATACGTGAATTATAAAGTTTTAAAGTAAAATTTAAACATTTAAATAGTCTTTGTCTTAAGCTTTTTGTTCCTCTTTTATCAGTTTCTTAAATATAAAACACCTAATAGTATTAGGGATGGAGATTAAAGATTAATTGGAACTTTTTTATTCTGTAAAAGTAGCATAAAATGCTTGCTTAATTTGTATACTAAATAACTATACTAAAATTTTGTTCTGTATCTGACAGTCAAAAATATACTGAAAGTAAATCTGTTAATATTTAAATTGACATTACAAATCCAATTTTTTTTTTTTATAAACTGCAGAATTTTCCTCTATTAAACTATTTGGAATAGGAACTTGCATAATACTGTGCAGAACAGATTCTTGATATCCTTCCCCCTTCCAGTCCTTTCTCCACCCTGATACTTTACAGCTTAAGAAAAAAGCTGCTATTTTTCCATTTAAAATACTTTCGGTCCCGATAAAATCTAGACTAAAATTGGCATAGAAGAGTCCTCACAATCTGGCCTCACTCTACCTTCCCAGACTGATCATTTACTCGTGCATCCTACTTTCTGCCACACTAACTCACTGTTCCCCTGGAGCAGCTAAGTCCTCTTACATTCTGCCTCTGCTCAGTGTGTTTCTCTTAGTCTGGCATATTTCCCAGCTAGTAAACAGTGGAAATGTCACCTTAGTTCTCTTATTTCCCCTTAAGGCAGGCAGTTGCTATGTCCTATGGTCCCAGTCACATAGTCATACCTCTTTACCACCACTACCATCTAGAATTAAACTTTTTATGTGCTTGTTTGTTCCAGAGGGAAGGAATCCTCATCTGACTTGATTAGTGCCTTATCCAAAGTGCCTGGCACAAGGTATCTACGCACTGGTGGATAGATGAGGGAAGGGACTGCCCGCATTCTTCTGCATAGCCTCAGTAAAATGGCATAGGGCAAGACCTCCAAAATGTTTCAAGGAATTTATTTAGAAGGGAGGTCTCTATACAAATAAAACAAAGAACTGTTAATAGATGAAATTTGATTAAAATGACTCTGTAAGTAGAAATTTTAACTTACTAATTAGTAATTATACTGTGGCATGTGTTTCTGAAGTGTGGCTTAAGTTTTTCAGTTTGCAAATGTTGATTTCCCAAGCTCTGCATATTCAGAACTGGTATTCATGACTGTAGTTGTTAATTAAGCACTTTCAGTTCTTAACTGTCTGCATTTAGAAACAGGTTACGATTTTGTCTTATAAAGTCAACAGGTACACTTAGCAGTAGGTAGTATAGGAAATGGAGTATAGATTGCATTTTTATAACCATCAACAGGAAGCTTCATGAGAACAGAACTTAAACCAGGTAAGGTGTGTTGTATTCTGACTGAATCTGCAAGAATGTACAATTCAGGAAAATTACAAGTGATTCCTAACTAAACAGAATTTATATATATTCCTCACCCAGGGGTTTTTAAACAGTTAATTTCTGAAGTCTTTGCCAACACTAGCACATTTAATAAAGAAAAAAATCTTTCCAATATGTTTTGATAGAATAATTCACTTTTCTGAATTTAGCTCTGGCTTACTTAAAACTCTTATCTGTTAAAAACTACTTGGGGGGGGGGGGGAGGTGCATATGGGAGGAAATATTATAGTTTAAAAGTAACAACTCAATATTTTTGTGAATGTTATGTGTCCAGGTGCCTAAATTGGTAAACCACACTAGATTGATACAGTCTAGATTTAAATTATGTGCTTGTGCAAACAAAAGAAATCAGATGATGTCACCATTAAAATGATATAACAAACTTTTCTTGTAAGTTAAAATATCATCTCTAGCTCTTTGATAGTTAGATGAGCAATACAGCCCATCTTTTTCACATGTGCCTATACATTATAATAAAAAACATTGTTAAGGAAGTAAAAATCTATGAAGTTCTACCCCTCTTTATGTTTGGAAAAAGGAAATTCTCATATGTTATTTCTTAGATTTATTCAGGTTGTTAAATACAGATACCATTAAAAAGGTCTAAGATTGCATTTTTATAACCATCAACAGGAAGCTGCATGAGAAGAGAACTTAAACCAGGTAAGAGAACTTAAACCAGGTAAAGTGTTTCTATATATGGAAAGCATTAAGATCTTTTCCTCTCTACAAAATGACAAGTGACCAAAATCACATGAAGTTCTCACTACAGCAATAAAACCACTAGGGTAGAGAGGATATGAAAAGAGGAGCTGAAATAGAGCAAGTCAAGTGCAAATTCCTAAAAACTGCATTAAAATGGTTGTATTTGATCTGAACTTAATTTGGACTTCACCCAACTTTATGTTCCTTGAGTTCATTTTGTTAAGTGGCATTTGGTGGGTTTAATAGTTTTGAAGGCCATGGAAACAAAATACTTACATTATATGGCAAGGTTCATTTCTGTCTTTCAAACAGTGCCCATTTTCCCATTTCTTTTTGGTAGGAAATGACGTTTTTACATATTTTGAACCAGCATGTGTACTTTTGACTCCACACCAAGGTGCATCTAGAATTAGTGAATAGAAGTCTCTTCAGAAGTTCAAATTTTGAATTATTTTTTTGAAATGAACATTACCAAACTAATATATAACCTCTAAAAGATAAGCTTCAAACATGGCCAAAAGCAACAGAAAAGTTCTAAGAAACACACAAGACAAAAATCTTAAACTGTACAAATTCTTAAATGTTTTTATAAGAACCCACCCCCCCTTATTGTTGATGTATGCTTTTAAAAAAGATCTAAAGCTAAGAGAAATACAACTGTAACGTGAAAACATTTAGGTTAAACAAATTTCTGTATTGCCTCAACTGAATATAAAACAGTACCTTTGAATACTGGGGTTATTCAATAACCTATTTCCTTAAATAAAAAATTGTAATAGCTTAATTTCTGCACTTAAAAAGTATTGTAGAATTAAGCCATTGCAAAGAAGACACTGTATAAAAAGTTATGAATAGTTTTTTAAACCCTGAGCTAAAGATTTCTTGTTTAATAAAATATTCATAACTACCACCCTAGTTACCATCATCCCCTTTTAAGTTCTAAAATTGAAAAAATTGAAAAAATCACTTGCATAAACACTTTTCCATCAATTGATAAAAGTGTAACTGTTAAGGCTGTGTGTATTGTTTTAAAACAAAACATTTGTTAATTTTCTTTAGTTCTTTTTTTGGAATAGGTTAATATGAAAAAGTTCTAAAAAACAAACTTACCAGTCTCAATCATTAATTTTTCACTAGGTATTGACTTCAAAACTTCCAAATTAGCCTCAGTTTTCAGTGAGCTTAAAAGATATTAATTTATAAAAGTGCATTTAATGACTTTTTCACACTATAAACGTATCTAAACAGATCACAAAACTAACTCAAAATCCCAAAACAAACTTTGGTTGGTTACACAGGCATTATACCATTGTATCTGCACATCGGGCTAAAGTTTTTGTAAAGGATTAGTAGGGCATTGCCAGCAAGAAAAAGACACCGCTGAAACCAGTTTGGCTCAGTGGATAGAGCGTCGGTCTGGGGACTGAAAGGTCCCGGGTTTGATTCCAGTCAAGGGCATATACGTTGGTTGTGGGCACATCCCCAGTAAGGGGTGTGTAAGAGGCAGCTGATGGATGATTCCCTCTCATCGATGTTTCTAACTCTCTACCCCTCTCTCTTCCTCTGTAAAAAATCAATAAAATATACTTTAAAAGAAAAAGACACCAAGTCCTGGGGTATGAAGTTTAAACAACCAGTAATATGCCAGATGGAAAAGGCAACTTGTCAGCCATCCTAGAGTTGAGCATTATACCTCTTGGGATCCGAGTAGTTCTGAAAGAATTTAGTGTATGTAGATAAGGGTTGGGAGGAGGTGAATCACAGTCAGCTCTGGGATAGGCTCAGGTCTTCCAGGAAGGTGCCTGTTCTGGGACTGGCTGTAGGCAATAGATGGCAAGTTCAAGTGGATGGCACCTGGCTAGTCTCTCTGTTTTAGATAATCATGGAAATAGCCACAAGGCACAGGAATGTGAGCAGTCTTGTTATCTGGCTTTGCAGTTGTTTAGTGATTAACCCCTTCCTGTTCTTCCTTCAACCTTCTGGTCTTTTGTGATTCAATTTAGGAAATATCAGAATTTTCTCCTTGTCACTTAACTAGTCTTATTAAATCCAGAGTAAGATCTATTCCAACCAGATCCTGCCTTTGGGGAGGATACAGTAACTTCCTATGAATAAGTAAAACAATTTTTTTTAAATATTTCACTTTTTTGAGAAATTGACATAACTTAGAGTGATTTGTCTAAGCTTTCTCTTTCAACTGTTTTCCAGAAATCTACATTAGCAAAACTCACTTTTGTTTTTATAGGTTTCCCTTTTTTAATATAATTTTATTTTAATAGGATTTAGGAGGGTGGGATTGAAATGTTTGTCTAGTTTACCATAAGTACCAGCCTTTTAATTAGTGTTCTCTAGAAGAAAACAATTTTCAGCCATCTTAGTACTTGGTCAATGTAAATATTTTCTAAAATATGTTCACATGCTCAGTATTGAGGGGAAGCAGAGTTTGCCACTGCAAATATGCCTCTGCGGTATTATTTGAAGCTGGTTATTTTTAAGGAAAAACCTTTGATGTTTCTCCCTAACTGCCTAAGAGAATTTAGAAAGAGGATCTGCTCCAGTGAGGGAGCTATCATCATAACAAGTTTGATATGAACTAAGTATAACATAGGAACCTATCAGCAAGGCCCATCTGACCAAAGTCCTGTCTGTCCCATTGTTAAAGAAGGCCCAAGGCCCAGCAAATATTTGTTTACCAAACATTTGCTTTTCCTCTCCATGTGAGCTGCTCCTCCCTTCTTCTTAGCTCAAGATGGCTGTATCAGCTTCCTCTGTCCTCATTCTCAAGGAACTCCCATATATACCTACATAATAAGTTTGAATATTTTCTCTTATTAATCTCATGTTAATTTGATTTAGAATCCAGGCAGAATAACTTAAAGGGTAGAAGGAAAATTAAATTTTCTGCTCCCACCGTTTGGATACTAAATTTAAAACTTGTCATCAAATTAACAATTTGCATATTTTGATCTTATGAAATCATGTCTGACTTAAGACTTTCCCAACATGTTCTCCATGTTTGTAAAAATTGATCAAAACAGAGAAATGAGGAAGAGATTAACTAATGAACTTATACGCATAGCCCATGGGTAGACAATCTAGTGAGGGAGAAGGCCTGGGGAGGAGGATGGATGATGGCGTCTAAGGAAGAACAACAGATGTGGTCAAGTTTAAAACCGGCCCATTTTCGGGGAGGTAGGGAGGTGCATATAATTTAATCATTATAAACCAAACTTTGTTATAGATAGTATAAATTACCATACTGCAGAAGCTCAGATTAAGACTAAAATAATTAAATTTCAAAACAAGACAAGAAATACAGACTGACTAAATGATTAATTCAGTTAACATAGGGAGGAAAAACGCTTAAGTCTTTACAAACGAGATAGTTTAGAAATATTTGAAACAGACTTCTAATTCAAATGGGTAGAATAAAAGCCTTCTACCCCTGGTCTCTGGAAAGCCATCCCAAAATAACAAAAGGAAAAAAAACAGCATTTTTAAAAATATATATATATTTTATTGATTTTTCACAGAGAGGGAGAGAGAGAGGGATAGAGAGTTAGAAACATCGATGAGAGTGAGACATCGATCAGCTGCCTCTTGCACACCCCCCACTGGGGATGTGCCCGCAACCAAGGTACATGCCCTTGACTGGAATCGAAACTGTGACCTTTCAGTCCGCAGGCCGACGCTCTATCCATTGAGCCAAACCAGTTTCGGCAAAAACAGCAATTTTTTAAATGAAACTAGGAAGCATTTCTAACACCTAATCAAAATACATAGTTGATGGAGAAATGATAAATAACCTATATTTACCTGCTAGGCAACTTAAGTGCTATATGCCTATAGAGAGAAATACTGAAGACAAACTAATTCACCCAAGAAAGTTCTAAGAACTGGAAGAACCAGGATAAGGCAGGAGACAAAGGGGGGATTGTTGGAAAAGTCAGGGTAAAGAGAAGATGGGACTCCCAGATTACTTTCCCATGAACTAGTGCAGAGATTATTACTTTTGCCCCCACCCCGGGAGAAGGAGGTAGGAGGGGGAGAGATGTGTACAGTCTCAAGAATTTAAATCAGATTCCAGACTGGAGAGCAAGCACAGAGGAGTGCAGGGCATGCATGGACTGAAAATGGAGACTGAAATCCTCACTCCAACCAACCCTTCCCAGCTTCAGAACAGGCAGGTTTATGACTCTCCACTCCACTACTCCAGCAGGGAGCAGAGGATCCTCTCTGGAGACCCTGGACCAACTGGAAGAGCTCAACAAGCTGACATTTAGGAATCCTTGCTGAGAATGTCAGCTGGCCACCTGACCGGCTGCCAATTGATAGGCTATCTCACCAATGAGCTTCCAGTCAGCCTTTTTTCTTTAACTTTTACAGTATACTGGGAAGAATAGCCTGACATTTGAAGAAAGCCTCCATTATGATAGAGATTAAAACAACAGAAGGGGGAAAAGGAATTCGGAGCATTTTTTGGCAAACATAAAATAACTTTAAAAAACTAATTCTTCAGAGAGTTGAGAAGATGCTGCAGAAAAAATATCAAATGGAAGTGTTCAGTGTTTTTTTTAATCCACTTTCAAGAAGGAAAAGTAGAATAAATCCACTTTCAAATGTATTCCATCAACACAAAACGAATACATGAGATCTAAAATTAGTCCTGTCACAGAAGAAATGCTAATCCAACAAGCAGCAAGGTGGAATGGTCTGGAAGGAATGGAACAATCATCTAGGCAGGTTTCCTTGTAGTGAAAAAACAAAGGCTTTTTAGAGATGTTGCAAAGCATAAGAAGCTTAGTTTTGAAGAAAGCCAAGTAAACAAAAATATGAGGAAAGATACTCCAGGAAAATTTAAAAAAAAAAGGAAAAAGAAAAAAAAGAAAAAGGCGGTACACCACATGGTTTAGCAGTCAACAATATACAGATATAATTAAAACACTATGCGTATAACCAAAAATCCTGAATAAGGGGACTATGGAAGGTAATGTAGGTGGGGGAACAGTATGGAATATGGACTTAAATTCTCAAATACCTTCATGAGAACAGGTAAAGGGAATGAATGAATAACAATGCATATTAATTAGAAGATGACAAAAATAGTGATGTGATTGCCTCTGGAAAAATGACACACTAGTTTGTTTAAAGCCTCTTAGTACTACTAGACTTTTGCTTCCATAGGCATATAGTCCTTCGAATAGTAATAACCACATAACTTAAAATACTAGAACATTTAAGTCAGAACTCCATAGCAAACAGGTAAATTTCATGATTCTATTTCCTAAGATTGTAGTAAAAAAATCAGAAAAATAATTATAAGGAAATTAAACACTAATGACGGAAAGTAATCTTATACTATTTTGCAATTTATTTAATGACCTACACTGACATCCTATAAAAAGACACTGGTGGAGGCTCACCAAGTGTGGAAGAAATGAGCCTGTACTGGGTGTGAGGTTTAGTTTGGCATAACAGCAGAAAGTCACTGAGTGAAGAGCCAGAAGACACGGGTCCTCACACTTTATACCTGTTTTTTATAAATATATAAAGTTACTTTATACCTGTTTTTTATAAATATATAAAGTTACTTTATACCTGTTTTTTAACTTCTTTAAGCCCCAGTTAATTGACTTACATAGATATAATTATGTCATAGTACAACCTTTCCCCCATTGTCAGTCATCACACACACACACAATGAGTAACAGGTATGTTTTAAAGCGACAAAATAACCTAAAAATAAACTGCACTGCTACAGAAAACTAGCTGCTGAGCTCAAAATTATTTTCCATTATTGGAATACATGGTAGCAGTTTTTAATGTTCCAGCTTTAACTTGTAATAATACTATTTAATTTTCTACATAACTACTGAAATTTTCAGGCCAAGGTCAATGCAAAATACAAACTAAATTAAAAAATTCGTATCAGCAATTCTGTGTAACAATAAGGAATCTGCGTAATATGTTAAAAAACAAAACAGAACCTACCAACCATTAAATCCTATGTAGAGATCCAGGTCAACCAAAGCAGCTGCTGTTTCCTTGGTACCATCAAATGAATGCACCTAAAAACATAGACATAATTCTATTATAATTAATCATTCTTCCTTTAAAATTCTAAACAAGATTAATAAGATTTTCTAAGCAAAAATATAGGTGCATTAAAGATTTTGAACCACAAGATTTCAAATGTGGCCTCTACAATTTTTATTTTCAATTGTAACCCGTTATGAGAGAAGGAAGTACATTTCTGCCTTTGTGGTCCCTGTGGCTGTCTTCACTGGCATTAGGGCATGTGTACATTACAGCATGCATCTCCAGGAAGGAGGATCGGACTAGGGGACCACATTCTTTGGCAAAAGCATGAGGGGAAAAATTAGAAATGCTATAAAATACTATAAAACTATTAAATATTTTTAAACGTTCAATTTTCAGTTAGAAATTCCTTTTAAGAGGCGAGTTTTAAGACAGAGGTAAGAATGTTGCTAAAAGTCAATATTAGCTCAAAAGGCAAAAAAAAAAAAAAGTTTTTTCTCCTTCAAAGATATAGGAGTTAAGGTATAATTTTCATAGTATTTATGTAATTAAAACCAGTAACAACACTCCTTTAAATACACTTAGCCAATGATATCAAATTGATACTGAGCTTCGAGTCAGAATACACTAGGTAACAAGTTTCTGAACAACAGAACTATGACACAGAGGCCCCAAAGGGTGTATTTTTATCCTCAGCATTTTCCTCTGACTGGAAGACACAGCCTCCGACAGTTCCAAATAGTTTTAAACGTAACTCCATATAAACCATTTCAGAGAATTATTCTTTATTTGAAATTTTTAAATAAAAGTTAAGTTGGATTTGCTGTTACTTTTTTTAAAACTATTATAGAATCATCCAAGTAAATTCTTATAATATTTAGAAATAAAGTAAATGGGCTGAGAGGTAGAGCCTGAAGGTTTAAGTGCCACCAGTAATACCAAAAGCATTAAAGAAAGTGTCTCTCAACTTCCACGTACTGTTCCTAACGGATATATTACAGAGCAGGTAAATTACAAATAAAAATGTGCACTGCAATGTTTAATACCACAGCAATGCAAAAAGCATGCATATCACTAGTATGCATAAAATACGAGGTCAAGAGTTTGAGCATAAATACGAAATTGTCAAAGCAGTGCAACATAGGCATACAATTAGTGCAAAGTGCTATTTCCTCTGCCTAGATAACAGGTGTTTTTTTTTTATTGGAGCCCAGCGAGTCTCTCCTCCTGTTATGTAAGAAAATGTCCATATCTCAACATTTTTCTGAGGCAGATTTTCAACGGAGTCCATGATCCCCAAAAGATTAAAAATCACATGGATACTCGTGTTAAGTGGTGGGTAGATAATATTTTGGGAAAATGTCTCAAGATTACTGGCTAAAAGGACCATAAAGAAGTACTTAGAATAGAAGAAAGTTACAGAAAGGAGAATGAGTAAGTCAGAGTGATAATAGTGAATACAGCTGACAAGAAATTAAGAAGGCAAACCTAAGTGAATGTTATTTTTAAGTATTATTAAAATTTATTTTGCTCAAAATAGAAAAGGCAGAAAGGCAGAGAAAAATATCATTGTTAAAATGAGTACAATTAGGGCTTTTCTATACTCATTTTTGTACTTTGAAGAAAGTAAATTTACATGTCCTTCAGAAAATGAGAGAGGAATCTTAGTAAGTTTATAACTGACATCTGAATTTAGAGATCAATCTTAACCAAGAAGCTTTTTTGCAGCATCTAGTAAAAACAACTCTTATACTTACTACTCCCCCTACACACCGATCTCTATTTCTTTTCATTATGTCTGTGAATTAAAAACAGAAAACTTTTAGCAAATAGCTAGATTTCTGCAAAAGTTAAATTCTAAATATTATAGCTTTAACTCACCCAAAAATTCAGCATGTGAGTTTCGGCAATGAAGAAACATGGGTAGTTTTGTCTGATCTGAAAGTTCAAACTGTTTTTCAAAATATCTGCATAATCAAAAGTTTTTGTTAAAAATTTTATTTTAGCACAAGAAAAATAATTGTTAATGATCTTAAAGGAATTTTCCTAGAAATTTAGGGCAAAGATACTAAATTTAAAATATGCCAGACTTAGCCAAAGGCTTTCACAACACCCATCTTCTGGAAAGGGGTACTTCATTTTCTGGGATTATAAAACTTTCAGAAATTTACCCTAATTAAGTAGTGCTTTACTATTGATCACCGGAAATAAAGAGCTATAGAGTTTAAATTTAGAGGTGTACGGTATTTCCCTAAATAATTACTGTTAACTAGCTGTCCAACCAAATCTCAGCAAATGAAGCAGACACCATCCTATAATCTGTGTGGGACCCTTGCCCTGCAGAATGTGTTCGGTCGTGGAAAATACACAACTGGGCCCTTGCTCTGAGAGCTGGCTGAGCACCATCAGCAGGAGTCGGTTGACTCCAGTGAGAAGGCAGGCAGAGCTTTATTTATACACTCAGTATTCTCTATGTGCTGCAGTATAATTACTGCCACTGTACCAAAAGGATTCCCTTATAAACTAACTACAAGGAGCTGTTACAGAGCACAAAAACTAAAATACTACATTTTTCAGAAAAATGAAAATATATAAGCATCTCAATATTTTATAGAAAGGTTTTCCAAGTGCCACATAAAATTATCTCATCTAGCACAGCACAAGTATTGGTGTCAGAGGTGGGTGGGACCTTGTTCAAGATCATTACACACAACATGGCAAACCTGGGACCAGAACTTCAGTGCTCCAATTCCAAGTCCCAGCCCAAACCAAGCCATGGCGTATCAAAGAAGCCTCTCCTGGTCCCAGTGTAATATCCAGAGGATATAATGGGGTGGTGGGTGAGGGAGTGTTTTTCTTCCCTCATGTTAGCACAGTTCCCTCTCATTTTCCTTCATGGTCAAGTAGCTTGAAGTGAAACCAGGAGTTACAGACAATAGGTGTCTTACTATTTTCTAAGGGGCTTAGCTCTTCTTGGGGAACGATCTCTCTGTGTTTAACTTAAATCTCTTCGGTAATATTTTCCTATATCTTGTCTCCGGGGTGCAGAGCAGCTATTTTATCCCTCTACCTACGGAAATGCTCAATTTCAAAACAACAAAAATATACTTTTAAAAGACAGTCATCCTAAAATCGGTGATCTATGTCTTTATTACCCAATGATTAGGTTTTTAAACCACTTTTTAAAATTCTGCTGTAAGTAAAAATATTTTTATTTTTAAAGTGCTGAAATTTCACAGTGCAGGTAACAGAAGAGGGGAAAAAGACTTAAATCATTACTACTAGTCATTATTTCCATAAACTCTAAATTAATTCAAATGCCAGCAAGTGAGTGTGCTCCAGTCATCATGTGAACTTCACTTTGGTGTGGCTTCTGGCTATGCACAGCAGGCAGTACTCTTCACTCTCTGTGTTCTCCCCTCTAAACTGAAAATATTCTCAGCACAACTCTATGTCTAAGCCACATGACCAGGCTGGAGACTTACCGAATCTAATGCTCAGCTTGGAAATAGTTCTTAAATTACCTCCACTCACCACAGAACGTGTCATATAAAAATGAAGTTTTACTTCCAAAAATGTTTCCATGTGGCTGTTTGTTGTCTAGTGGTGCTATTGGGGCTAGAAGCACCAATGACATAACAAACTTAACCACTGAAGGGTAATTTTTTCACATTTCCTTTGGGGTCTGGAGGAAAATCTTCCGTTAGGCATTTTAGTGCTCTAGTTACTTTAAATGTGGGATAAAAGCCACAAAAAGTTGAGTTCTTTCAGTACAAAAAATTATGTAGCCAAATGGTGGACTCCTCGGACATACATAGCAGTCCCAGAAAATAGCTGCTCAGGTAAGAAAACAGAACTTGTCTCTTTACACTTAGCATATGCTCCACTCATTCCTCTCTGACAGCTTCTGAACATTAGAATTGCTACTTCTTTCATTCAAAGAGCACATGCAATTCACAGTTCCGAATAGTTCTAAAGCCTTACTCTTCTCACACACCAGTCTTTGCCTCATGGAGGCTTATCTTGGCTGAAAACAGACACAAATGTGAATGAATTATGATCTGTGGGCTTAAGAAACCACTACAAATTTTTTTCTAATTAAATGTGAATACGTAAATTTAGGATTAAGTGAGAGCTGACCTACATAATATTTAAGAGAGAGAAAGGGATTTAGTGATCTTGTGGGGGTAATCACATGAGCATCCTTGAGAAACACAGCAAATAATTATGTCACTAACTAAACAGTTCTGACACAGTTTCAAAGATTAGAGAACTGAAAGAAAGACTTTGCATAGCATTAATGTAATCCATCCTATGTCAGTTGGTTATGAACCTTCATGCTCCCGGAATTCTGGAGCTTGAAGTTTAGGGTGTGACAGAATCGCTACTCAATTGGATTCTTGCTACAGGCATTTTCAACTGGGCTGGACATATGGGGCTGTTTGTGGCAGGAAAGGAAGGGGGAGAAAGTACAGTATACTTTTGGCATAACTTGAAAATTCCCTTCAAGCCATTGGCTTAATCAAGATCATATGACAAAATCGTTAAGTATTATGAGAAAAAATATTATGATAGAGCTAGACGGTATCTTAAAGAATTTGATCCAGATTCCTTGCTCATATGTAAGTAACTAAGTAAAGAGTTGTTTATTCTTAAATGGCCGAAGGGACAGATATTATACTTTATTCACATTTTTACTATTGAGTTCCTAGCAGTTTCTGGCATATATAACTCTCTAAACATTTGCTGAATGGTAGAATAACTAAATTAACCTTCTTTAGAAGCTCATTCTAATATTTTACCATCTAGACAAGACATTGTTTTTGAAATTCAACAAAATGCACATCTTCAATTAAGCCTATGACCTAAATTTTCTGTTCAGCCTATAACACTACCCACTAGTATGACAGGAGCTCCAACTAAAAGCTATAGGCAACGGGTATAGGAAGTCCCCAGGGCTTGTAAGCTTTGTTGTTTAATAAGAAGGCACCACTCAACTGAGGTTAAAGATTCCCCTGCTCCAAAGAGACACTATCCAATGCCCAGCAAGAGGAAAATAAATTTTCTGGCTTTGGTCCTCTTTTTCATATCCTTTCTCTTAAATCCTATCCCCCACCAATATGGTTCATTTCATTGGAATGGTTCACGTATGAATGCATTAAGTCAACTAAAAGCAATACAAAGTCTCCTCTATATAAAACTCATCACTTATTTCTACCATTAAAATCAGATTAGATGGCTAATCAATCAGGGATCTAACCTTCGATCCTTTAGGAATTACATGCAAGTATGCATGACATTTGTTTCATTTAACTATTGATATACAATGGAGAAAAAGAGACCCTAATGCTTAAAAGATACATATTCAGAATGATTAAAAGCTATTTAAAAAATTAAGATTTTTACAATAATTTCTAAAGTCAACAAATTTCCTTACTTGAGCTGAGTATCTTTGGGACAAAACTGTAGTCGGTCAAAATCTTCAAGACAAAAAAGAATAATTACTCATGACTCATACAGAATATATTTTCAAGGTCACTCACAGAGCTGGGTGGCACTTACCAAGTCCACATTCCCCTATTGCTACAACTTTTCCCTTGTTGTTTTCAGCAAGATTTAGCAACTCCATTAAGTAAATATCGGGGTTATTTTTTTCAAATTCATCACATCTTGTGGGATGACATCCAACTGTACTGAAAAACATATCTAGCACAAAATAATGTCCTAGGATTATTTTCAAAATATTTAATATGCATAAATGAGACTATAAATTTCAACTGGTTAATTTTTAATAGCCAAAAACTATTCAAACTATCAGATTTGCATTAATCATATAAAACTTTTTGGAATACCTTAAGATGAAAATTGCCTTAACATATTGATAAAAATAATGCAACTCTTCCCAAAGCATAGCCCTAGCCAGTATGGCTCAATGGATAGAGCACTGGCCTGCAGACCAAAGGGTCCTGGGTTCAATTCTGGTCAAGGGCACATACCCTGGTTGCAGGCTCCTCCCCAGTCCAGGCCCTGATCGGCTCACGAGGAGGCAACCAATCGATGTATTTTTCTCACATCAATGTTTCTGTCTTTCCCTCTCTTTTCCACTCTCCCTAAAAATTAATGGAAAAATATCCTCAGGTGAGGATTAACAACAGAAGCAAAGCCTGGAATATACTGAGACCCGAAGAATGGAAAATGAAACAATTTACTATAGAATTAACTGTCAATACATAAAAGTAAAGCTCACTTATCTGGAGGCCATACTTTTTGACAGCTCTAACTATATAGAATACAAAGATGAAGCCAAAGGGTTTTTGAGTGGCTTACGGTGCAGCTGAGCCCATGGGAAAGTGGAGCCTTCCTGGGACTGATGCAGATGTTTACATAAAAAGGGAGGCAGAGCTTTGAAAGTGGTGAGAACACAGGTAGACAGAGAGGAGTAGAGAGGGCTATCACTGGAGATCTGAGAACTTTTTAAAATATATCTGTTTGCCGAAACCGGTTTGGCTCAGTGGTAGAGTGTCGGTCTACAGACTGGAAGGTCCCAGGTTCGATTCCAGTCAAGGGCATGTACATTGGTTGCGGGCACATCCCTGGTAGGGGGTGTGCAAAGAGGCAGCTGGTTGATGTTTTTCTCTCATTGACATTTCTAGCCCTCTATCTCTCTCCCTCTCTGTAAAATATCAATAAAATACTTTTTTTTTTAAATATCTGTTTGGAGATAAAAAGTATGGAAGACAATATTCTCATCACCTAAAAGCTCTGGCAAGATGACTACTTTTATGACCTTAATCACTATGAAAAAGTAGAAGTGGATCCTGAAGCGATTTCCATTAACAATAGCTTTTAATAAGTCAGTTATTTTGAAAAATAACATAGAATGCCTAATTTTTCAGTGTCCAGTAGATAAAGCAAACCTCACCCCCCAAAAAAAGTAATGAATTTTCAAGTAAATGAATGCCAGATAAAGGCGGTATCCTAGCTAATAAGAGTAATATGCAAATTGACCATTACTCCAACACACAAGATGACTGTCCCCATGTGGACACAAGATGGCCACAAGATGGCCAGCAGGAGAGGGCAGTTGTGGGTGATCAAACCTACAGGGGATGGCAGTTAGGGGAGACCAGGCCGACAGAGGAGAGAAGTTGGGGGCAACCGGGCCTGCAGGTAAAAGCAGTTGGAGGGGGGGGAAGGGAGGGGGTCGTGCCAGGTCTGCAGGGGAGGGCAGTTAGGGGTGACCAGGCCGGCAGGGGAGAGCAGTTAAGGGCAATCAGGCCAGCAGGGGAGCAGTTATGCATCAATCAGGCTGGCAGTGGAATGGTTAGGGGGTGATCAGGCTGGCAGGCAGAAGTGGTCTGGGGCAAGCAGGAAGGCAGGCAGGTGAGCAGTTGGGAACCAGCAATCCTGGATTGTGAGAGGGATGCCTGACTGCCCGTTTAGGCTTGATCCACGGGGATCAGACCTAAACAGGCAGTCGGGCATCCCTCAAGGTGTCCCAGATTGGAGAGGGTGCAGGCTAGGCTGAGGGACACCCACACCCACCCTCCCCCGTGCATGAATTTTGTGCACTGGGCCTCTAGTTTTACATAATTAGGATTTCTTTAGGAACCAATTCCAAAATTTTATAGATTTTAAATAACTGCAGAATATATGAACATAAAATACAGGATGGATTATGTAGTGTAGTATTACTTGCATTCCTGGGCCTTACAGTGTCTGGTCTGCATAATATTTAATAAATTATTTTTCACAGCTTAGGTTAAAAAAGAGCAAATAAGCAATTCACCTTAGACACATTACAACATATACACAAAAATTCTGTATCAGGAACATCTGAGGTTAAATTATATACCTGGTGACCTTAATTCTGATTAACTGAAATCTTAATCCTTATTAAGTTCTATGCCAATGGGCACTTAGAATTTTTCATCATAATCATATTCCATTGAAATCAGTCTATTCTCCTGTTGTTTCTACAGTCATGATCCATTGTATTGTACCTGAAGCAGTTCTCAGAAAGATTTCTTCAAAATAAATTAATTCATATTTGCTTTTGGAAAAAGTAATATGAGGATACCATTTGTTTGTGCCAAATGGAGTGCATCTTTACTGTCTTGTAGATTTCCACCTGTAATCATAAACTGAAATAGAAATAAAATAAGCCCACTTTAACAAGGTATCAGCAATTGTTCCACAAACATACCTCCTCATTTCTGCTTTTTTCCAGAATGCTTTTATCTCTTTCACACACCTCCCATTCCTTTAAAATTCAACTGAAGGATCATCTCCTATATGTAGAGTGGTCCGTCTACTCCTCTCCACGCAGACACACAATACACAGAATTCATCACTCCCACCTATTGAAATGCATTCACATGTCTGTCTGTCCTTTTATACCATGAGTTCCTTGAAGGCACAGATCAGATTGTGAAACATTGCAAAAGACTGAATAACTAAAGACCTCCGATTTTAGAATTCTGTTCATCTAAAGCAGTGATTTCAGAGGGCTGAGTAATTCAGCAGTTCTCCCAAGTGTCAGCGCAGAACCCCAGGGGATGTATGAGGTCAAATCATTTTCATAATACTGTGATGCTGCTTCCTTTCACACTCTCATTGTCAGTGTGCACTGAGGTATTCCAGAGAATACAGAATGTGTAGGACCATGACAGATTGCAGACACAGATATCTTCTATTAAGCCAGACATTAAAGAGATGTAAAAAAAAATGCAGAACAGCCCTAGTAGGCTTGGTCCAGTGGATAAAGCGTAGACCGTGGACTGAAAGGTCTCAGGTTCGATTCTGCTCAAGGGCATGTACCTTGGGTGTGGGAATATCCCCAGTGGGGAATGTGTAGGAGGGCAGCTGATCAATGTTTCTAACTCTTCCCTCTCCCTTCCTCTCTGTAAAAAAGTCTCTCTCTCTCTATATATATATATTTTTTTTTTAAATGCAGAACAATTCCATTCTTGTTACTAAATTATTTGTTTTGAAAATGTTTTTCATAAAAATTTACTATCTTATCTAATAAAAGGGTAATATGCAAATAGAGTGAACTGCAGAACAATCGACCAGCCAAAAGTGTAATGTGCTAAGGCTGCTCATCTGCTCGTTATGATAGGCACTGACCACCAGGGGGCAGACAGTTGACCAGTCGCTATGATGTGCACTGACTACCAGGGGGCAGATGCTCTGACCAGTAGGTTAGCTTGCTGCTGGGGTCTGGCGGATTGGGACTGAGTGATATGGGCCAGACACGCCCTGGAGCCCTCCTGCAGTCCCTCCCTGACCCGATCACGCACTGGTGGGGTCCCTCAGTCTGGCCTGTGCCCTCTCAAAATCTGGGATCTCTCAGGGGATATCAGAGAGCCAGATTCAGCCTGATCCTGCAGGCCACTTCCCTTGGAAAGGCACCAGATGCAGGGCTCATGGCTGGCAAGCACTGCAGTGGCAGCGTGAGTCTCTCTCAATTAGGACTGATCGGGCGTGAGCCCGAGGCAGGCAAGTGGGGCCAGGATGAGTGGGAGCTGCAGATAGGAGCTGCAGGAAGCGTTGGACTGCGGGTTTCAGCCCAATCCTTGCAGGCCACCCAAAGGGACTCTACCCACACAGGAATTATATAGTACACTGGGCCTCTAGTTTGTTATATAATGGCATTATTTTTAAATTAATTAATAAATCGATATTTAAGTTTTTACCAGTTTTAATTTCTAATACAGTATATAACAACAGATAAATCCACATAAATAAAAGCTCTTTGGGGTCCACAATAGTATTAGAAAACATGAAGGGAATCTGATACCAAAAGCTTAAAAATCACTGGGTTTGTTGTAATGATGAATTCTTTGTAGGGAAATTTATGGCTCTTGGCAAAGAAACATACTTCTACAGAGATAGCCACTACTTAGAACACCATCTCTGCTAATTTGATTAAAGGAAAATGCCACTAAAGAGCTACTAGTATGTGTTGATGGTGACTGCTGAGGCAGTGCTGCTTAAGCGACATTCTTGTAAAGATGTCAAGTACAAAGACATATTATTCTTAAAAGCATACTTCAAGAGTTTCACTGAGCTTAGATGAAGAATTCATTGCAGAAACACACCTCAAGAGCAAAAAAGACAAAGCTCAGAGGAAAGCCAAGCTAGCATAGCTCAGTGGTTGAGCACTGGTTTGATTTCCAGTCGGGGCACATGTGGGCTCAATCTCTAATGTGGGTGTGTAGGAGGCAACCAATCAATGATTCTACCTCATCATCGATGTTTCTCCCTCCCTCTCCCTTCCACTCTGTAATTAATAAAAATATATTTTTTTAAAAATGAGAGGAAGTATAAATGATATATTATCATTTTCATATAGCAAATTAAACTTTTAATATGATAAACATTGGGAATGCAGAGCCATAATTAAGTCCTCAACTGCTTCTCAAACATAGGATATAAGATATTAAAAAATACTGCGAGGCTTTAGTAACACTACCTAATTATTTAATGCAAGACCAGGTGTCCACATTCAGTATTTCAATTATATAAAATAGCTTCTAATCAAATCTACTTTTTATTTTATCTCTAACTTTCCCAAATAGATGAAAAAATTAGGGCAAGACTATAAGACATAGTATTCTTTTTTTTCTTTTTTTTTTTTATCCAAAATGTGTTTATTGGGATGGTTTCCCACTCATCTTGATTTGAGGTGCTTTTAGTGCTGCTTCCTTCTGAAGGAGCATCCTTCTGTGAGCCTTGCTTTTCCTCCTGTTGGCTGACAGAGAACAGTGGAGCAACCAACACACAAAACTACCGTTTGTGCATGGCTAAAAGACGGTGGTGATTTTATAGCATCCTGGGCATTTGACATCCATGAAGTAGGAATTGGGGCTCTGCACCAGGCGCTTCTTCTTGTGTTTCCTCTTCTCCTCTTCCGGAGAGGGATGGAGGAGATCCTTAGCGAGAGGCATATTGTTGTGGGGAGGTCGTCACCGCCGGAAAGGCAAGACATAGTATTCTTTATCAGTTTACAATATGATGATGATAAAATGATGGTTTCCATCATTTAGCCTATATAATAAAATCCTAATAATGCAAATCAACTGAGCAGCAGAACGACTGGTTGCTATGACGCACACTGATCACAAGGGAAAGCTCCTATGTTGAACATTTAAGCCAGGGAGCAGGCCTAAGCGGGCAGGCAGACATCCCCCAAAAGGTCTCAGACTGTGAGAGGGTGTAAGCCAGGCTGAGGGGACACCCCCTGCCTAGTACACGAATATCGTGCATTGGGCCTCTAGTGTGTGTGTGTGTGTGTGTGTGTGCGCGCGTGTGTGTAAAAGACTAACATGCAAAGTGTCCCCTTGGAGTTCGACCAACCAGGAGTTTGACCACTAGCTGTGACATGCACTGACCACCAGAGGGTGGTGTGGAACAAAGGCAGGCCCTGGCCAGCAGCTGGCAGCAGCTACCCATGCATGAATTTCCTGCACTAGGGCCTCCAGCAAACATTATAAAGGTAATGTCTGACACAATAACAAGCGCTTTGCATTCCATATTTTATTTAACCTTCACAACAACTCAAGTTGGCACTATATGATTCTCCATGTATGGATGAGAAAACAGATCTAAAGAGATGAAGCTCCCAGGTTACAAAGCTATAAAGAATAAAGTTGAGGTTGGAAGCCAGGTTTGTGATGTCCTGTTGTTCCTAAATCTGTGTGTGTGTGTGACTAGAATGTTAAGATTAGACTATTCATGGCCGACACATGAAAATTTAGGAGCTTGATATTTCAAAGTGTGCAGAAAAGCATTTCATAAAGTGAAATGACCACACAAGAAGGTAGTGTTGTAACTTTTATCCTTTCTTATTACTTATGACAAATAAGTTTTAGAGCTGGAGACTGCCGAACTCAGTCAGCAGTGTCACTTTTTAAAATGGAAACTACTCAGTGTAGAAGCAGTGGCCACCAAGTGTGCTGATACCACACTACTATAGAACTCTCTAAAATAGTAGGCATTTTCCTAATCAAATTATTGCTAAAAAATGAAAATATCCCCTCAGTTACTTGAAATTGTATACTCACATATTATAAAAAAAAGATACATGTCTTTTTATGATTGCTTACCTCAATAAATATAAAGTATGTCATAAAATGTATTTAAGGTTACCTCTTCAGATGCCTGGTATTTCAGACAGGCTTTGAAAAAAATTTCAAAGAGATTTTGCTATTTCTGGTCACATGGAAGAATTAACTACCCACGAGGCTTGTCATTTGAACTGCCGTGAACAGTACATGCTGACATACTTTATTTCATTAACTTGATAATATTACATATTAAAAGTATATACTCAAAAAAGCCAAGTGTGATACTGGTGTTTTCCCTTCTATTCAGCAGTATTTTAACCAAATTTAATATTTTTTTGTTTAATTTTTTATTTATTTATTAAGGTATCACATATTTATCCTCATCCCCCCATTCCCATCCCAAACCCCTCCCCACACATGTCCCCACCCCAAAATTTAATTTTTTTAAATAACTCAATAATAAAAACTAGATGTTACCTTTTTAACACCAATTTGGACAGCTCTCTTTATTACATCCTGTAAGTCATCTGTAAAAGATGAACCCCAAAGTAAGAGGGTCTGGTAAATAAAACTCCATTTATCTATAAGTCATATTTACTAAATCAAAATCAAATTAATACTATTTAACAAGTACTTAATCTATAAGAATAGAATATGATAATCTTAGAAAAAGGAATACATATAAGGCAAACTAGATGAAGTTATTTATTTTTTTGTATTTTTATTCTGTTGGCCAAGAGTCAAAAGTGACAAAATTCAGAGGTTCAAACTGAAGATGAATTTACTGACTATAATTTAAAACCATTTGCTTTGAATTTCAAACTTGTTGGTAGATTTTTAAAAATAGAAATCATTAAGATTATTTTTACTATGGCTTTTTAGAGTACACCTGTAATGCCCCCCAAAATATAGCATCTATTTTAAAATTTTAGTTAATGTTGTATTTCTATAATTACTATCCCCATTGAGGAAGATTAATTTTTTAAATTTTCTGACAGTTACTTTTTGCTTTTTTCCTAAAATTTATTGTATAACAACAAGCTTTTGGGGGAGATCAATAGTAATTAATTAACTCCGAGAGGGCTGTAGCAAACTTAAACAATTATGTCATAAAAACCTATTTCCTAATTTTATATTTAAGCATCAGAGTAAATGTGATTGGAATTCAATTACTATTACTTCTAGAATAGCTAAAAAATTTAATTTAGACAAATAATTATCAACTTAGTGAACATATATAAGTAGGACAGTCAGTTTTGCTAACTGTTATACACTAGACACCTGATGCACGAAGATCTGTGCAGAATGGGCCTTCCTTACCCTGGCTGCCAACATGGCCTTTGCTCCAGCCCAGAGCCGCCTTTCTGCCTCCGCTCCGCCTGGAGCTGCCTTTCCGCCTTCCCACGATGCCCAGGGCCCGGAGGGCTGGGGCAGTGCAATGACACATCTTGCCCCTAGTCCCTGGGCGCTTGTATATGCAAATTTACCTGTCATCTTAGTTGGGTTAATTTGCACACTCACTCCTGATTGGGTGGTGGGCATCACAAAGGTATGGTCAATTTGCATCTTCTATATTAGTGCTGACTAGAATAATACTGATATTGATCACTATACACTTATTTCATAGACACACATATTCAAACATATACACCCAGTCACAAAGCATGAACTCTTAAGTGCTAGGAGGCAAAGAAAGCAGAATGTAATTTATTCAGTTTTAGTGAATAGTATAACTATACCATGTAAGTAACATCATCTAAACTTCTAAATGAAGTAGGAAAATTAAGTTTTGAGGTAAGATTAAGGAAAACTAACATTTACCTTAATCTAGAGACATTTAGATTTGTTCAAGAGACATCTACATTTCCTATATTTAAATATTTCCCTTAGTATCAAGTGAGATTAACTTCTGAGGTGAAATGTGCAATTCCATACCATCCAGACCCACAAAACCAAATTTTCCTATTTGTACTTACATAATGACAAATATAGTAATTTTCTGAGGCAATACACACAGGCTAATTTATTGGAAAAATTAAAAAACTTGTCACCATCGTTTCTTGCTTAGTCATGTAGCTGACATAATAAGCTTTTTAAAAATGAAATTGATGTGATAAATAGAAGCTATTTTGTTGTTGGCTAAAGCTTTCCATTAATCTTGGAGGTACTATTCTTCCCACCTGTACTGCAGATGTGTAGGATCTAGCAGGACTGGGCTGGAAAGGGGGAGGGGCAAGGCAGGAGGAGGACTGCGTTCCCTAAACTACATTCCCACTTCGTCACCCCACTGGAATGTTTTATAAAAACCAGACATTATACTGATGTTCAACTGGACATTATTTTTAAATTATGTGCCCTTTCTGTTCGATTGCCTGAAGACTAAACAATTACTGTTTGGCTTTTGAAAAGTTCCATATTTGAAATTATAAACTTCTTCAGATAAGGGCTTGATTCATTGTTATAACAGGTGCATTGTAAGTGTTCACTATCACAGTTTGTCAGTGTAGTTTATAGATGTTTCACTTTGTTTACAGTTTATCCAAGATGCATAGTAAGCCTGATTTCAGTTGTAAGAGTGTATTATGCTTTTCTAGGTCTCCTTGAGGCATATCTTCATAGAGAAACTGTTTACTTCAATAAAACATTTACCTTGATGCTTTTGAATCCCCCTATAAATTCCTCTGAATACAGGATCTGTCAAGTTGATACCAATATCTGTGGAAAGCAAAATAAAAATAAATGATTAATCATGAAGAGCCTCTATGTGAAACCTTTTCTTTAAATAAAAGCTCATACTTTTCCTCCTCACATTCATTCACTTCAACAAAACCTGAGTGCCTGCAGCTTGTCAGTCAGCGTCACCGTGCTGGACACCTGGGCTACAAAGATGAGTGAGAGAGAATGCCTGCTGTCAAGGAGCTGGGACTTGAGAAGCAGACCCAGCGGCAGGCAATAAGAAACACTGCAGGTAGACGGCAGTATTGTGGGACACAGAAGAGGAGCCCCAGGCCTAGCCTGGGAGCTGTCCCAGAGGCTTCCAGAGCAGTTCCTGAACCCAATCTGGAGGCTGAGTTAGTTACCCAGTAGAAGAGGGGAAACTGCAGACAAGAGGAAGCAAATTCATTGAGGATGCCCAGATCACAGGAGCAGAGCTTCTGGGGTGTGAAATAGCAATGATTACGGAATAATAAGGGTTTTATATTATTTCCTGTAAGCTGTAACAACAAGCCATTCTAGCTGCAGGAAAAAAGTGTAGGGAAGGAGTGGCCAGAAAAGGCCAGACTCAGCTACTACAGACACTTGTCTTTAAAGTATCAGATGCAGCAAGAAGCACTGATGGTTTTAAGCAAAGGAGTAAGATTTGCATTCTCGACATCTCATTCTGGAGTCTTTGTGGAGGGAAGGATTTGAAGGGAGCAAGGAGTCAGGACAGCTACTTGAAATAGGAAAGAGCTCACATTTACCAGGAAGAGGACCTGGATTAGGGCAATGCAAGCACAGATGCAGAGAGAACAAATTATTTCCTTATTGTTTACTCATCAATATTTATGAAGACCAACTCTGTGCCAAATAGCATGGTAAGGGGTTAGGGAACACAGAAACGAGTAAAGCCCTATATCAGTCCCACCCTCCAGAAATTTATATGGGACTATAAACACAATTGTGATATAATAAACTACACTGGAAGCAACAGAAGGCAAGAAATGCTTATCTTCACTGCTGTCCCTAGAACCTAGCACAATGGCTGGGTGAAAACAATATAAATGGAGCCACTTCAAAATGGAGTCAGAGCAGCCACTCAGAGCAACTGCCTTGCACATTTTAGTCCTCAAACTTTGGAATGTTTAAATTGGACAAAGTAACTTTTGGGCTCGGCCAAACAATGGTATATTCCAATTAACTGATTATAAAGTTAACAGGAAAGCAGAAATCCTGATAATTCTTTAGAATTAGTACCACCATGTGTAGCTGAAGTATAACTTACACCTATAGAAATTCCCTCCTTAGCTCATAAACACCAACAGAAATTCCTTTCTTCTATCCTCTTACCTTTCTCACAATTATCCCTTGCCTTCACCCCATAATTGTAAAACTATTTAGGTTTCTGCCTGAATCAGTGTTTCCCAGAAGTGCAATTCTTTTTTAACTCAAATAAGTGCTTGTTGCCTCCCATCTTGGCTTTTTTGTCCTTTCTTTTCATCGTGGCTTTTCACTTCAACAGCACAGTTAGCATGGGAGCACGAGGGAGCAGTAACAGCTCTGGCGGTGTGGTGAGAAAGCTTCACAGAAGAGGTAGGTACTCTTGAAGCTAAAACTAATGGAAAGGGCATTCTGCATGCAGATGTGTGCAGTATAAGCCTGGAAGGAATTGACTGAGCCTGTAGTGTCCTCAAGGGAGAGCGATTTTGTAGCATCTCTCTTCCCCGAACTCCCCAGCCCACAGCATTTATTAGCAACGTCTGTATTCATTTCTAGCTGTCACAACGGGAGAGGGCTGCTACCGTGTTTCCCCGAAAATAAGACCTAGCACATGGAAAGATAAGACATCCCCTGAAAATAAGACCAAGCACAACTTCGGGAGAAAAAATTAATATAAGACATTGTCTTCTTTTCGGGCAAACAGGGTAGCATCTAGGCTGAAGCCAGGGATGCTGCTAAATAACCTACAAGGCTAAATAACCTGAAGGCCAGGGATGCTGCTAAATAACCTACAAGGCAGACAGGATAGCCTCACAACAAATCCTCATCCGATCCAAACCATCAAGTGCTCCTCCTGATAAATCCTGCTGCAGAGCACAAGAGAGCACCGGGAAGAACAGGACATGAAGTCAGATTGTGACGGCGTGGACAATACCAATGTCACCTTATTTACAATACATACCCTTGAGCTTTTAGCACTAGGACAATCTCCTAGTTTGTGGAGAGACAGCTGCCCGTCAATAGACCCCTACTCATTTTTGCTGAGTTCCAGCTTCTCTTGTATATTCTCACTCTGCTTCTGCCAAGCTGACCCTCACTGTGCTCTGCTGCTTCAACATTAAAACAGACCTTGCAAGAGACATGGAGAGAGTATTCCACAACAAGAGAAAAGCACAATGCAGAAAACTTCAAAGATGTGCAAGTATGTCAGTGGAGGGTGGGAGATGAATTCACACCAGGTACTATTAAAAGACTGTTAACACACAAATATTGATTATAAAACACAGATTCATTGAGGATGCCCAGATCACAGAAATCAGCACCTCCTTTCTTTCCATGAGGACAGGAATAAGACAGGGAAGGGGCAGAGTGGGAAAGGAAGCCCTGGGAGGAGCATCCACCAGATGCTGATCAGTAAGAGCACGGAGCCCTCCTGCATCTCTTGGGCATTTCCCCTTTGTGCAGCAGAGAAATTAGAATTTGTCCAAAGCAATCTTCCCCTAGAAACGAAGTGAAAAACAAATGAAACCCAAACCAAGCAAGTTTAACAAGTATACTTTTTGATACTACCGTAATTTTAAAAGTGAATTAAAGATTAGCTTGGAGGCTCAATTATGAGGCATTTCCAATTTCCAAGTCCTTATCTCAACCCTAAGAGCACAGCTGCTAAATCCCTTTCCAATGCTTACACTGAGGCCAATTCCAGGCGATCCCATTTCCCCTACAGCCCACCTCTTCCCAATGGGAGTCTTCCAGGCCCTAAGTCTCAGCAGACTTCGAAGATCTACATTCAGCTTTGGACCCAAGTGAGCAATGGGCTGTAGGGATATACTGCACAGCCACCAGTTTCTTCCCTTTTCTGCAAGAATCTCCTGTGAACCCTACCTGTTTTGGCTCAGTGGATAGAGCCTGCGGACTGACTGGTCCCTGGTTCAATTCCGGTAATGAGCACGTGCCCGGGTTTCGGGCTCGGTCCCCAGCTGGGGGTGTGCAGGAGCAGCCGGTGAGTCTCTCTCATCATTCTATCTCTACCTCTCCCTTGCTTTTTTCTTTCTGACATATGGTTTGTCTGAGGTGTATTCCTCAGCCTGTAATTAGAGCTGCTTTCTATGCTTTGATGAATAGGCTCCATTACCTTAGTTAAGTTTGACGAATGCATTCAAAACATGCCACCCCAAAATACGCAGCTTTGGCATATGGGGTTTTTTGAGCTGAAGGCACCTGAGAAATAGCAGGTGCGGAAAAGTTTTTCTCATCTCCCCCTTTCCAGCTAAAAGAAGGTCATAGTTTCCCATAAGAAAGGTGCCCTTCCTATACCAGGAAGAGGACATTCTTAACACCAGAGACTGCAAGTCAAAGTCATAGTGTAACTATTCAAACAAACCCAAAATAACCCTTATCTTCTATTCCCTTCCCTGCATATTTCCTGGTCACTGTTCCACAATTTAAGTCCCTCTGTCTCACCACATCCTCACTTAAGCTTTTGGGCCTAACTGCTTCTTTGGGTCTTTGTTTTCCATTTGAAGACTCCCATATATTGATATATGAAAAAATGAAATTTGTATGCTTTTCTCCTATTAATCTGTCTTATGTGTGTTTAATTCTTAGGCCTAGCCACTGAGCTAAGAAGATAGGAGGAAGTATTTCCTCCCCTACAGAGGCAAATATCTTCTTTTTCTGATTCACTTCTGTTTCCTATAAGTTCTCCTTGATATGGGATGGCCTCTGTGCCTCCCTCTCTCCACCCACCTACTCACCCTATTCACCAGCAAACAAGCACCTGCAGGGTGATTAAAATAATTAACAAGTCGCCCTGGCCAGGTAGCTCAGGTGGTTAGACCATCCTCCCAATTCACCAAGGTTGTGGGTTTGATCCCAGGTCAGGGCACATACAAGAATCAACCAATGAGAGAGGATCCAAGATGGCTGCTCGGGTAGACATCTAACCGCAGCAGCACACAACAATTTCAATGGAATACAACTAAAATGTAGAGTGGACATCGCCCAGAGCTATAGGTAGTCGACTGACTGAAAATGCTACAACAAGAAGGAAAGAGAAAACCAGAAGGAAAATCAGAGGAGCTGAAAAAAGCCTAAGGTACGGAGACATGCTGCACGCACGTGCGCGCGGAGAGGTCGCAGCCGGAGAGGAGGAGAGGGCTGGGTGCTGCCTGGCGTTCCCTAGCAGGAAGGAAATAAAACCCCCAGCCTGGGCTGAACCCCCGAACCGGCAGTGCTGAGCCCCCGTTATGGGCCAGACCCTAGGGCCTAGCCGGAAGAAACAAAGCCTCCGGCGGCGCTGAGCCTCAGTCCGGACTGCTCTGAACCCCAGTTCTAGGCCAATCCCTGGGGACCCAAGCTCAAGCAGAGGGAGACAGGGGTGTGAGGTGGAGTCCTGGGAGAGCGGCGAAAGGCCGAGCCCCCGGAGTCGCGCACATTGCTTACAAGGGAAGGAATATTGACTCTGATATGGGATTGCCCTGGAGGGAAGGAAACAGGAGCCCCGGCCGTGTTGGGCCCCATTTTCGACTGCTCTGAACCCCAGTCCTAGGCCAGACCCTGGGGACCCAGGCTCGGGCAGGGGGAGACGGGGCTGTGAGGCGGAATCCCAGGGGAGCGGTGAAAAGCGGAGCCCCCAGAGTCGCGCACACTGCGCACAGAGGACAGTCTGTTGACTCTGATCCTAGATTCCCCTAGCGGGAAGGAGAAAAAAAAGCTCCAGACTGGAGGAACGCGACAAGGAGCAGGAGCCCCTGCAGGGCACCAGCAAGGAGCCGGGCAAGGGGCCCCCAGGTGTGGGGGGGTGCCCCTGAGCCTTCGACTGCTGAGCGTGGGCAACAGAGCCAAGGCCGGGGGCTGCTTCCTGGTGGCGCCGACCCCGGCAACAGGCTGAAGCAGCGCAGGAGCCCGCGGAGAACAAAGGGGTGCCACAGGCCAACCTGCTGAGCTCCCAGGACAAGGAGGAAGAAACCAAAGAAGTTCTCAATGTGAAGAAATCAAGTGAGAGCAAAAGATAGTAAAATTACTTAAGAAAGAATACAAAGAAGATCGTGAAAAATCAAAGACTAAGTCAGAACTCAACTCACCAGCCAACATTGCAACATAAATGCATTTAAAAAAAAAAAAAAAGGACAGAATGTTGGAACAGCGGCGGCCAGGCCTAGAGTGGCCAGGCACAAGGCAGTGGCAGCCGGGCCCAGAGCAGCAACGGCCAGGCCCCGGAGCAGCAGCAGCCAGAACCAGAGCAACAACAGCCAGCACTGGAGCAGCCAGACCTGGGGCAGTGGCAGCCAGGCCTGAGGCGGAGGCGGCCAAGCCCAGGGAGGCCAGTCCAGGAACACCCAGACTCGGAGTGGCCGGGCCCGGAGAAGACGGGCCCAGAGCAGCCGGGTTGGGAGCAGCCAGGCCCAGAACAGCAGTAGCCAAGCCCGGAGCATCCAGGCCAGGAGCGGCCAGACTCGGAGAGGCCGGGCCCGGGGCAGCCAGGCCCAGAGCAGCCGGGTCGGGTGCGGCCAGGTCCGGAGCAGCGGCTGCCAGGCTGGGAGCGGCCAGGCCCGGAGCAGCCGGGTTTGGTGCGGCCAGGCCTGGAGCAGCAGCTGCCAGGCTGGGAGCAGCCGGACCCGAAGCAGCAGCTGCCAGGCTGGGGGCTGCCAGGCCCGGAGCAGCGGCTGCCAGGCTGGGAGCGGCCAGGCTCGGAGCAGCCAGGCCCGGAGCAGCAACTGCCAGGCTGGGAGCAGCCGGGTCGGGTTTAGCCAGGCCCGGAGCAGCAACTGCCAAATCCAGAGCAACTAGGTTGGGAGCGGCAGTGACCAGACCCGGAGCAGCTGGTTGTGGAACGGACCAGAGCAACAGAAGCCAGGCCTGGAGCAGCCAGGCCCGGAACAGCTTGCTCCTCGTCTACCCCTGCCCCACGGCTGCCTCTCAGACATGGCTGGAAACTTTTGTGGGAACTTGAGGGTCTGCTGAATCAAGGGATGAAGGCTTAGATCTGGATGTGTTGAATTAGTATAGGGCTGGGGTGTTGATCTGTGAGTGCCTTGGGTGGGGCCTGGATGAGGCTGGTTGACCTATTTGGAAATGTCTTTTGTGTGAAATGTATCATTGGGCATGTGGAGGTATTATTGATATGAGAAAATGCTAAGTAACTGATTTACTATCTGAAAAGGGATTTAAAGGGAGAGAGGAAGAGACTGAACATAAACTGTACACCTATGGATAAGGACAATGGGGGATGGGGAGGGGGCAGAGGGTGGGGTGGGAAATTGGTGGAGGGGGGAAGAAATGAGGAACCTTTGTAATAATATGAACAATAAAAATTAAAAAAAAAAAAGAATCAACCAATGAAAGCATAAATAAGTGAAGCAACAAATTCATACCTTCCCTACCTCTCTCTCTTCCCCTTCCTCTCTAGCTAAACACCAATACAGTAACTACAGCCCTGGCCAGTGTGGCTAAGTTGGTTGCTAGTTCGATTCCCAGTCAGGGCACATGCTCAGGTTTCGGGCATGCAGGAAGCAGCTGATCGATATCTGGCTCTTACAGTGACGTTCCTCTCTCCCCCTCTCCTTTTCTCTCTTCCTAAAAATCAATTTTAGTTGTTTTAAAGATATTTTTAATGATTTCAGAGAGTAAGGGAGAAGAAGAGCACCACTGGCTGGCTGTCTCCCACACACCCCCCTACTGGGCATGTGCTCTGACCAGCAATCGAATATAGGACGACACCCAACCACTGAGCCATACTGGCAGGGCAATAAAAATTATCTAAAACAATAGAACCAATAAATAAAAATTAAAAATAATTAACAAGTCGAGCGTGAGGAGCCTGGGCAGAGCCCAGGGACCATGGGCGCCTCCCGGCTTTACACCTTGGTGCTGGTGCTGCAGCCTCAGCGGGTGCTGCTGGACGTGAAGCAGCGGGGCTTCGGGGCGGCCGCTGGAACGGCTTCGGGGCAAAGTGCACGAGGGAGAGACCATCGAGGACGGGGCCAAGAGGGAGCTGCAGGAGGAGCGCGGGGTCACCGTGGGCGCACTGCACAAGGCGGGCCACATCACGTTCGCTTCGTGGGGGAGCCCGAGCTGATGGACGTGCACATCTTCTGCACGGACAGCGTGCAGGGGACGCCCACGGAGAGCGAAGAGATGCGGCCTCAGTGATTCCCCCTGGACCAGATCCCCTTCACCCACATGTGGCCGGACGACAGCTACTGGTTCCCCCTCCTGCTCCAGAAGAGGAAGTTCCAGGGCCACGACACCATCCTGGACTACAGGCTGCGAGAGGTGGACACGGTGTAGGCAGGACCACGGCCCCGCCCGCCCGTCGCGGTCCTCGTTCCTGCAGCCCAAGCACCAAAAAGGACAGAGCCGCTCCAGGCACCAAGCAGAACCAGGCCCGGGCTGTGTGTGTGGGACTTGAGTGGATGGGAAGGAAAATAAATGTCTTTCACCCTCAAAAAAATTTAAAAAAAAAATAATAATAATTAACAAGTCAATATAAAGGGAACCATAGAATGTTCAAAATTGTCATCCTAAAGTATTCAATGTCTAAGAAAGTACCAAGAAATAGGATACTAGCAGAAACTGCAGTTAAGGAAAGAATGGGCTTTGGAGTCAGAAATCTGGCATTAGGACTAATGAGCGGAACGACTGTGGGTAAATCAGTAGGCCTTCTGAGCCTGTTTCCGCACTAGTACGGTAAGTGTAAAATTTCTCCTTTCAAGGATGAAATGTGGCTAAATTTGGGAAATGAATGTGAATATAAAATGTAACTGTTACGTATTATTATTACTGAGCACAGTATAAATTCTGTAGCATGCCAACAACAAATGGAATTTCAGTCACCGTTACCTAGTCAGGCACACCTCATTTGCTTGAGCTCCACAGATGCTGTGTGTTTTACAAATGGAAGGCAAGACCCTCCACCGGAAAATGACTGTGGTGGTCTGGAACTGAACCCACAGTACCCGCTAGGCCCACAGGCGGCTCTTCGGCCCCTTGAGTATGGCTCTTCCACAAAATACCACGTACCCTAATTAAGTTAATAACAATGTGCCTACCTATATAGTTTAAGTTTAAAAAATTTGGCTCCCGAAAGAAATTTCAATTGTACTGCTGATATTCGACTCTGTTGAATAATGAGTTTGCCGACCACTGCTCTAGGGCTTTGCCCGTGCTGTCACCCCACCTTAGGTGATTAACCTCCCAATCCAAGACTGCGTCCTTAAGCTGCCAGGTGTAAATTAATCTGTTTATACTCAGACTACTGCTGCAACCACAGAAAAGTGAAAAAAATAAAAAACAGTCAAAATGCTATTTAGCTTGATCAAAATCTTTTAAATCGAAAAGTTTCTATCAGAAGTATGTCTGGTATTGATAAACTAAAAAAAACAAAAGTAAAGAAATACTGTATGAAAATCAATTTCTATCCAGCTCCAACCAAAGATAATAAACATCTTGAAAAACTAAGAAAGTGAGAGAAGAGTGAGATAGAATGACCGGAATTTAATAAAGGCAAAATGAAAAAAAATGACTACTTCTGATTTGAGGAGGGAGGACAATTTGAGGGACTCATGTTTAGTAGCATGTCACCTTATCCGTCTCAATAATATTTCTTTTCCATTTCTTTCGCTAGCTTTAAAAGCAGTACCGGCTTTACTGTTAAAAATGACCCCCAGTATTGCTGAAACCGGTTTGGCTCAGTGGATAGAGCGTCCGCATGAGAACTGAAAGGTCCCAGGTTCGATTCCAGTCAAGGGCATGTACCTTGGTTGCAGGCACATCCCCAGTAGGGGGTGTGCAAGAGGCAGCTGATCGATGATTCTCTCTCATCGATGTTTCTAACTCTCTCTCCCTCTCTCTCCCTCTCTGTAAAAATAAATCAATAAAATATATTTTTTTAAAAATTACCCCCAGTATTAATGAGTTTTACTTCTCAAAAACAAAATAACCCAAAGAAAACCACATTTCCTCACTGTGTAGGCTCGGCGAATCATGTCTTATCACTGTCCCCTATCATCTAGGCATGCAAAGGGGCAGCAAACAGGGCATTTTAGAACTGTTTCAGACTTGCTTTGCCTCTAGAGTCTAGACCTTCACGCTCACAGGAAATACAGAACATTAGAGAACAAGCTAGACACCACCACATACTAAACAAGACCACTAGCGAAGAAGCTCCGGTCTGCACACGGGAAAACTCAGCTCCGGACACTGCAGTCCCTGTCCCGCAGGGGCTCCTAAGGTAAAGTGACCAGACGTCCCGATGTTTAACAATTTGTCCCGCGTCGTTTAAAAAAAAAAAAAAGTCCAAAATATTTAAAAGATTCTTTCCAAAAATCGGGACTTTTTTTTTTAAACACCGAGGGACAAATTGTTAAACATCGGGATGTCTGGTCACCTTATCCTAGGGGCCTAGTGGCAACTATTCCTTCCCAAGGAGAGGGCAGTGGGGCCGGCGCACGGGGAAAGAGGAGACCGCAGTGACCGCCTGCTCTGTGTTTCAGTAGTTGTGTTTTTGTGTTTTTTCTCTCTTTATTAACTCCGCACGCGTTAGAAGGAGCACACGTCCTAACCGCCCCGCGCGCGGACTTCCACCCACACGCAGCCCTGAAGCCGGCGCCGCACGGAAAGGCGGGCAGGCCCGGCGCCCAGGGGCCGCGGGCGCCCGGAGAACCTTCGGAAAAGCCGGAGCTCCCCCCGGCCGCCGCGGCGAGGAAAATCAGTGACTTACCCACGAACTTGTAGCGACTCATGGCTGCGGCGCCGGGCTCTCCTGGGCGGAAGCGGAAGTGGCTGCGGTCGCCCCGCCCTTCCGGCCTCCGCCCCGCCCCCTGGCCGCCGGGCTTCCGTTTCCGGGAGGCGCCGCGGCCTCTGAAGGTGAGCGACCGTCATGGCGTTCTCGGCGCCGGGGGCCTACTTGACGCACCAGCAGAAGGTGCTGCGGCTGTACAAGCGGGCGCTGCGCCACCTGGAGTCCTTCTGCGTCCACAGGTGGGAGAGGCCGGGGCGCGGGGCTGGCTCCGGGCGGCCTGCGGAGCCCGGGATCCCCGGGAGCCGGGCGTCTCAAGGACTTCGGGGACACGGGGAAGGCGGCCCCTCGGCCCACAGACCCGGGTTCGAGGCCCCTGGGCCTCAGTTTTCTGTTAAGAACGCAGCCTTCCGCAGGGAGGGTTGCAGACGGCTCGGTGAAATAAAGGAAAGTGCCTAAAGCCGCAGGTGCCACCGCCGCCAGCGCTCCTGGATAATAGCTGTCTGTATGACCCCGTTCCTAATACTATTGTAATATGCGCATTATTAATGATATTAATATGTGCAGTATTTTCTTGGGCCTTCACAACAACGCTGAGAGTTAGGGACTGTTTAGCCTCATTTTGCAGATGAGGAACTAGAGACAGAGAGGGTAACTTGCTCCAAGTATTACAGCTGGGAAGTGGCCCGGCCAGGATTAAAACTCAGGTGTCTACACCCGATGCATCTCATTCTCCCGGCTTCCCATGAGCTTTCCTCCTCTTAGCTTCATCCAGCCCTTTACTGCCTCCACACCCCATATACTCCTTCCCCTCCCACACAGTTTCTTCTTTCCTCTATCCATTCGAGACTTAGAACATAGTCTTGAAACGTAGATTGTTTTCGTGGCTCGGGTGCAGTACAGGGTGAGGTGACAACCCGAATGTACCTCAACTCCCTTATCAGAATCCTAAAACCTCACCCCAGGAGAAGAGCTTCTGGGGAAAACCTCAGAACTTTGGGAAAGGCCTGGACGAGTAGATAACCATGTCTAATCTCCCCAAATCCTTTTGGTTTAAGGGACAAGTACCGGTACTTCGCTTGTTTGATGAGAGCTCGGTTCGAGGAACATAAGGATGAAAAGAATATGGTGAGGGCCACCCAGCTGCTGAGGGAGGCGGAGGAAGAATTCTGGCACAATCAGCACCCTCAGCCGTACATCTTCCCCGACTCTCCCGGGGGCACCTCCTATGAGAGATACGAGTGTTACAAGGTGGGTGAGGACAGCACGTGGCTGACTGCCCCTGAGAGGGGGCCTTGGCTCCTTCCAGGTCCAGCGTTACCTTTCAGGGACAGCTGGATTTCCTTCCAGGTGACACCAAGACTTTTCTTTCCAAATTCAGCCTGTGGTATCTTTTTGGCAAAGCAGAACACTTGGTAAATAACTCATTTTGGGACCTTAAGGTAAACCGTTCAGGATTGGTGGTTAGAATTTCTGAGAAAGTCTAGGTAATACTTCCAGAGAACATAAACCCACTGGATATTTGGAAGACACATAGGGAAGGAATGATGCCAGTTCTGTCTGAACGGGCCGTGCTACTTTTCAACCCCAGGCTTTTTTTTTTTTTACTCAAATTTGAGTAAAAAAAAATGTTCCGGGTTCGATTCCGGGTTCGATTCCTGCTTCTCTTCTGCTGCCCGGTGCGAGGTGTCAAACCGTCTGACGCTGGCAGTGGAATAAAACCCATCTTGAGTTTTGTCTGTTGTGCAGGACCTGTCAGGGGCGGGTAAATGTATCTTGTATGCCATGATTTCCTCTCCTGACAGGTTCCTGAGTGGTGCTTAGATGACTGGCATCCTTCTGAGAAGGCAATGTATCCTGATTACTTTGCCAAGAGAGAGCAATGGAAGAAACTGCGAAGGGAAAGCTGGGAGCAAGAGGTGAGTCGTACACATGGGCCACGCCACGTGGTGCATTTTACCACGTGGCGTGGCCCACGTGGTCAACACCGGGAAGGAGCTCAGGTTTTGGCCCGCTGAGGAGGTCTGGGGTCCAGCCCTGACAGTTACCCTGGGCCCTCGCTTCAGCTGAGATACACATTTCTCAGCTAAATGTGGCACACACATCTTCCACATCAGTTACACTGTGTTCCCTTTCGGGTTTTCTGGTCCCTAATTTTGCTTTTCCCTTCTCCTTCTCCTTCACCCTTTGCCTTTCCTTCTTGTTATGCCCCGTTATCTCTTAACCTTACTCCCCAGCAGTGCCTTAGACACTTTTCATGTCTGCTTCACGTTTTTCAAAGCTTAATCTTGCTGTAGTGTGAAAGATATATTGGAGAGGGTAAGGTGACAAGTGGAGAGACCACTTTGAGGTTATTGCAGTTTATTCAAAAGATTATGGCAGCCAGCACTAAGGTGCATGCAATGACTATGAGGGAAGTATTGTAGATTCAGGAGATAGTTGGAGGGATATAGAGATAGACTAGATGTGGGAGGTGGGCAGTGAGGGACAGGGAGGATCAAGAATGGTTTGCTGCAGGTTATAAACTTCAACATCTGGGGTTTGCTGATGGTATTTATTGAGGTGGGAAAGGTGGGGCGTGAGGGGGAAGCATGTGTTAGGGGCCATTCTACTCAGATTGAAGTGTGTTAAATTTAAGAATCCTAAGACATTACGTGCAGATGTCAGACTGATGTAGGAATCTGGATGTCAAAGGAGCTTGAAAGAAACTTGTGAGCTAACAGTTGCTTTCCACGTCAGGGAAGTGGGTGAGTCTCTACGGGAGACCAGGGAAAAGAAAAGTCGCAGGCGCTTCACTCGTAGAGGTCAGGAGAGGAGACCGAGGAGCGCCCACAAGGCAGATCCCGGAGGAGGTGTTTCTGGAAGTGCCAGGCCACGCAGCTCTGCTGACAGTTGGTAAAAGGTGAAACAGTGAGGACTGGAAATAATGTGCCAAGAGTTTGGCTGCAGGGAGGGCATTAGGGGGCGTGGCCGGAGCCTTTTCTGGAAGGTTTAGTCACCCTGACAGCAGTGAGCAGAGTGAGGAAAAGACAGGAGGGAGCGAGGATTCTTGAGGTTTGCTGAGAATAGTAATGAGACCACAGGATTGTTTTCTAAGAGGAGAAATAATGGTGCGTGAGCCGAAACCGGTTTGGCTCAGTGGATAGAGCGTCAGCCTGCGGACTGAAATGTCCCGGGTTCGATTCCGGTCAAGGGCATGTAACTTGGTTGCGGGCACATCCCCGGTCAGGGGCGTGCAGGAGGCAGCTGGTCGATGTTTCTCTCTCATCGACATTTCTAGCTTTCTATCCCTTCCCCTTCCTATCTGGAAAATCAATAAAATATATATTTTTTAAAAATAATGGTGTGTGATTTGGAAGAAGGGAGCAGTCAGTGATGTTGATGAGGATGGAAAGGTGGAGGGAGTTTCGGGAAGAGGCGTGGGATCCCAAGCGTGCGGGAGGCCTGTCTGTGTTTGGGAATGGGGTGTGGTGACTCAGGGAGAGCAGGAGTCCACGCTGCAGTGACCGCTGAAACCTCCTCACACAAACCTTACTCCTGTTACTGTCGTCTCTGCCGCGTTATTAGGCAGCTCCTGTGCTGGGGCTCAGGTAACCATGTTCCAGAATGGCAGTTTCTGGAGGAGCTTCCTAAGTCACTGATCTGGAAAGCGGGTCTCTGGGTTCCTCCTCAGTTAGGGCCGTGATAGTCTCAGGGGTCCCTGGACCTGGGGGGGTTGGTCAGTATCAGGCATAACGAGCATATTTTCCATGTGATCTTGTTGCTTGTCTTGGTTGCTATTGGGGAGATATATTAACATCCTTAATATATATGAATTGTGATTTTTATTTTTTTTTTGAGATTTCTTAATGGTGATTATTATGTCTCAGCTACAGTTCCCCAAAATCACCATTAAGTAGAGTTTAGGTGGGGAGACCATAATCAGGGGAACTGAAGTAGTGGTCGTCATGATTTGGGTTAATGAATAAGGTGGGTGGGAGAGTTTTTGTTGGGGGAGGGAGTAGAGTGACAAGCCAGGGAGGCATTTCAGAGGGGTACAAGGCAGGCCCCAAAGGAAGGGGCCTGAGGGTGGAGGGAACGCAGGTGGAGCAGAAGCAGAGTTTTTCTCACTTTGCTGTTTTAAGAATGGGAAAAGCTTTGAGGACACCTTTTCTGAGTTGAAGTGTGGCTCTCAAATAATGCAGGTGTGAACTAACACCACTCAGCAGTGAGGGTCAGAGAGCTGTGATGTGACAGCAGGACAAAGGCGACACTGACTGTGCAGCCGGGACTGTCAGTCCAGCTCCTTTGCTAACTGGTCCTTCCTTGGCCCCTTCCAGGTGAAGCAGCTGCAGGCGGAAACCCCAGCTGGTGGTCCCTTCACCGAAGCTCTGCCCCCTGCCCGGAAGGAAGGGGACCTGCCCCCACTGTGGTGGCACATTGTGACCAGGCCCCGGGAGCGGCCCGCATAGACAGAGGAAGACACACCACCGGCCTGCTTGCAAGTGGAATAAGTTGCAGAAAATATACACACTTGCCCTAATAAAAGTAACAAGGTATGACTGCTGTGTTGTCTGTGTGAGGAGTAACGCGATGCAGGGGCGGCCGCTGTCTCCAGGCTCCGTAGCCGTTGTGCAGAGACAGAAAAGTCTGTGACATGTCACAGTCAGACGTGTTCAGTCACAGTGACAGCACAGGTTGTTAATAAGGGACAACTTCAGCAGAACTGGGCACAAGACTTACTCTGAAGATGGAGCTGACGAGACTAGAGTTGAAGCCTGAATTAGCACTCGTATCTGGAAGGAATGGAGGCTGAGAGAAGGTATACAAATATTGAGGACTTAGCTACCATCTTGGTTTTCTAAACATTGTACTGATGCAATTTGTTTTGATTAAACTTTCTCTAAGAAGTTCACATTCAACAAATAAACCTGGGCGCTCGGAGTGGAAGTTTGATGGGTAGGGTTAGAGTCCAGTTGGGGGTGAAACCCACTTGTTTTGGAGGCAGTTTTCCAGCTTTGCTTCCTTTACTGTAGCTTGGATTGCCTGCAGACTCCCAAGTTAAGGGTACAGCAAAACTCCAACCATTTGAAGAGGTTTCTTTAAACAGTAAAGCCAGCCATGGCCAGTGGGGCTCACTGGTTAGATCATGGGTCCGTGCACTGAAGGGTCAAGGGTTTGGTCCCCAGTCAAGAGCAGGTACCTAGATTTCAGGTTTGGTCCCCTACCCCATCTCCAGTCGGGGTGCATAAAGGAGGCAACCAGGCGACGTGTCCGTCTCTGTCTGTGTGTGTGTGAGTGCGTGTGTGTGTGTGTGTCCCCACACACACACACACACACTCTGAAAAAGCAATGGAAAAAATATCCTTAGGTGAGGATTCACAAAATAAAATATAAACCCATTCTAAAAACAATCAACTGAACCCAGCTACCTTTCCTTCTTGACAACTCATTGGAACTGCATTCAGGCAACTTCTCTCCTTAGGGCTCAAATCATCACAGAAATCATGTTTTTATCAGTTTTCTAAGTAAGCGAAATCTGAGTCTCGGTGCATCTTCTAACATTTGACGAAGAACAACTGAATTTTAATAATATTTGAAAAAACTTTTTTTTCTCTAGTGGTTCTTTATTTATAATGTAGGCTGAAGCAATTGTTACAAGATAGAAGGGAAACACATTACACAATTGTTATTTATACAAGTTTAGAACAAAAAACTGCACAGCGAGAGGTCAACTCTCAGTACAAACTAGCAACTAAACCACAATAATTTACCTTTAGAAACGATTTCTTTATTTGTAGCTGTGACACTGCTTTTACAATATGCAAAAACACAAACAGGACTACCCAGGGTGTTTCGTCACATTCTTTCTACAGTGAATTTGGCAACATTTTATATTACATTTCTTCAGATTATACTAACGTTTAAAAACTAAACAAGTGAAAAGCTGTACCGAGGTACAGTTACATCCATTTATTTCAAAGATTTAAAATACCACTCTTATCTATTGTGATAACCTTGCAGTGATTTCTGCATTTGCAAAAACCATCTCAAGCATCATATGCACAATGCATCAGCTACTTTTTCGTCATTGAGATTGGTGGGCTAAACCACAGGCACTACTGTTGCTTATATTCTGTAAAAGGAGCTTGTTTTTCAAAGAAAAAAAAGCTTAAATAGTTTCTAATAATCATGCCTTTGCTTTAAAGCCATAACATAAAATGTCCTTGAGCAATCACAGCAGTGTTAAATGTTAATATATAGAAGTAATGACTATACAGGTACGTTACTCTCACATCCAATGCAGTCATGTGTTAAAGAATAAGATTATGACTGAAGAGGGGAGCCAACAGGAACCTGCCGGGTCTGGGGGACCTACCAAGCTCCAATCATTCCTTGACAGGTCTGGCCACGGGGGGGCACTGTCAGCTGACCCAGCTGCTAAGAATTGCTTTCTTTTTCATGTTTATATTCTCCAAACATGAACCCTCCAAATCTACAGATCCCTGTTGGCTTTAGGGCACGGGGACTGTGGTAAATTTAACATTCACTTAAAGAAGAAAAGACAAATCCATTCCAAAAAACATGACCTAAAATACAGAAAGAGCGACAGTCTAGTGGTCAGATTCCGAGTGACAATAAATAAATCCTCCTCTCTTCGTTGTTTAGCATGAAGCCAATTAAGAAAAACAAGCCCCCGGATTGGTAAACACATTGGCAAGTTGCTGGACGCTACGCTGGTTACTCTTGTTAAATCCGCTCAAGTTTTTTTTTTCAAAATATTTGGGCTTTTCAGTGCACCCAGCCTGCTGGGCACAGTTAAGTAAAAGGTATTTGCTTTATCTAAGAATTCCCTGCTATCGTGTTTAAATGTTTTCACATTTTTGAAACTGCCTTACCCTTTTGGATGCATCTGGATTGGATGAAAGTGGGTATAACAGACGAGGAACTAAGTGGGGGATAAATTCTATGTCTACCTGGTGGTGGCAGCATGCTCGGGGTTGGAGGTGGGTGCTGTGTGCAGTCAAGAGGAATCATGGGAGAAAAGAAGTCCTTAAACACCTTACAGAAACAAACACTGCAATCCAGTATGGCTTATTTGGATGCATTAACCATGAAGCTACTAGAAATTCAACCTACGAGGCTGCTCTTAAATGTGACAGCCGGCTATGTTGACAGTGCCCCTCCCTGGCCCTCCCCCCAGTCCCACAGTCCACCCTCCAGGTTCACTTCACTCCGAATGGTGCTCCTCTGCTTTGCTCGTTCGGAACGTCGTGTGTTTAAGTGAAGAGTTCACCTCTTACTTTTCTGTTTGTACATTAAAATAACTTGAATTTGCTTCTAAGCCAGACTTCTACAATGCATCTACAAAAGCTTGCAGGAAAAAAAGAAAAAGATACCCCACTAGTGGTTCCCCTGCCCTGAGCCCTCCCCCCTTATGCTTTGAAAATTTTACAAAGACTTATAAAAAAGTTAAGTGGAATTTGGCACCTTCAGAAAAATCAAAAGGGAAACTAATTTTAAATGTGCAGAAAGAAAACTGTCAATATTTACAAATTAAAAGATCAAGATTATGTCAGTTACATATGTCGCTTTTAATTCTTATCTAAAGGTGTCGAGTACTTTCAAAAGAGCTGTATTTTGAGTTGCCTACAAAATCTTTTGTTTGACTACAGATCGGAATGGATAAGACAAATTAGGTTTTATTCATTAAACAGTTCGTTCCCCGCTGGCAGCATCTTGCGAGCCTACGAGAAGCGAGGGGCCGAGCGGTCGTTGGTCATGGTCTTCTTCAGCTTCACGCCCCTTCGGATGGCGTTCAGCATGTCTTCTCCCTGGGGGGCGTCCCTGGGGCTCAGGTCTGCGGGCTCCCGCTCTGGAGCCCGGCCCGGGGAGGCAGCGGCCCCCGAGGCTTCCCTCTCCTGGTCTTCGGCCTCGCTCTCGGGGATCGCCTGTCTGTGCTCCTCGGGGATGCTTGGCTTCGGGCCTGGGAGGGGAGGGTTGACGGAGGCTTGACCGCTCCACAGTGAGGATGGCATGCTGGCGACCCCCTGGGGGCCCTCGCCCACAGAGGGCGACTCGGGGCTGCGCTCACCCCGCTCCTCCGGCCCGTCCGGGGGGGCTGGCAGCACCCCAGGGAGGTCTGGGACGGTTGGGGTCTTCACAGGGATCACGGGCGTCTTGATGGGGATGGGACCGGCTCCGATGGTGCCCCGGCGGACAGAAGGCTTGGTGGAAGGGGTCCGTCGGATGGTTGCAACCCCTGGGGTGACCATGGCCGGTCCCAGGGTGGTGGGGAGGCCAGCAGTGGAGGCCGGGCGCTTGGCCTGGAACATGCGTCGGTAGGACTGGCTGATGTCGCTGTTCCTCGGGATGGTGGAGGACTTGTCAAACTCCTGCTGCTGGTCTGCCTCCTGGTCACCACTTACCGAGAAATAATCGTAATCTGAAACTGATGATAGGATTCGATTAGAAACCTCCAAGGCAGCGGCTCTGCTTTCTGAGTCTTCTGTGTTGGGAGAACAAAAGGCACAAGAGGCACGTGCTTAGCCACAGTCTCTCCCCAGGCCTCCCCCCCCCCCGGCTTCGGCCGTCCTTAGGCCCTTGGCAGGGACCTTCCTCCTGGTCCCTGACGTACCCCGGCGCCTAGAACGGTGCTGGGCATGGAGGCACGCAGCACGCACAGTGGAGGGGACACTCCCCGAGCATCTAGGATAGGGGTGTCGAACTCAATCAGAGAAGGGGCCAAAATCTAAAATCCAGCCTAAATCGCGGGCCGAATGGTTTACTGAACAGTCATAAACTGTCATTGTGATGGAAACGCAGCGGAGTGCAGTGATGACAGCGCGGTGCGGGCCACATTGCAAGGCCTGGCGGGACGGATTTGGCCCGCGGGCCTTGTGTTTGACACATGTGATCTAGGGAGTGAGGCGGAGGAGGGAGATTCCCCACGCACTCCGTCCAGATTGCAACCTGAGCCACAGCCCCAAACAGACCACCTCAGCCCTACGACTCTCTCACAATTCACTCATTAGGCAAGACTATACAGTAGATGGAGGAACTGGCGATGAGTCCCTGAGGACAAGGTACACGGTGGGTTCCATCAACAAAGGGTGCTCACCTCCTAAAAAATGGTATCAGAGGGGACAGGAAGCTTCCAGATTTCTGAACGGCAACACCACTGTCATTGTGGACCGTGGGAGCCAGGCGTGCTGTGACAGGCGTTTACAGCACCCGGTGACCCAGCACCCCCTCCCGTGTGACAGCCAGAGGTGTCACAGACATCGCCAAGTGTCCCGTGGGCAGCAAATCCCTTTGATGGACTGCAAGCAGGGTCCGCTGTCACTGACCCGTCCTAGCTGTCAGGCTGCCACGCTCAGGCTTGGGAATGTGGTGGGGAAGGGGCGAGGGAGGCGTGGCGGAGAGAGGATTTGGCTGGAACAGGTTGAGTTTGGGCTTCAGACTAACAGACCCTAGGTTCAAACTCTAGCTCTGCTGCGTATCGCGTGAATTTGGGCAAATTACGCAGGCTGTTTCCATGCGTGTAGAATGGGATAAAAAG